GGAGCCCGTCCATATATGTAATAGCAAGCCTAACAAGCAAATATCTCATCCAACCCCCCATTAGTGTGCTAAGTGGGGGTGCTAAAGGGTCCATTTTGGGGCCAACCCTTTTTGTTATATACATAGATGAGAATATTACAAACCACATCAAATTTGCAGACGACACTAAGATCTATGGTAAAGTGGGAAGTGAAGGCCATATTGAAACCTTACAAAGAGATCTAAATGAGCTCCACAAATGGTCAGATGACTTTTTAATGTCGATTAATGCAAGACCTTGCATGTGGGGGCATAACAATCCACGTCACAACTGACAGCACTACCTTTCAACAGATAGATGAAGAAAAGGACCTCGGAGTCAGAATCCATCACGTGAGGCATAACAGTACACAACTCAACTACCAAATCAACATAATCTTGGGGTCAGAATCCACCAATCACTGACAGTTGTACAACAAGTGGGAGCGGCAGTAAAAAAGCAAACCAATCCCTGGGAATAATCATGCGTACCTTTACCTTCAAGGAAAGAAAGTAACCTTCAATTGTATAAGTTTCTGGTGCGCCGCCACATGAATTTTTGCATCCAGGCATGGAGACCTCATCTTCAGAAAGACATAGCTGCTCTGGAGCCATGTCTTACCAGAGCTATGGAGCTATGTCTTACGACAAAACTCATACCAAAGCTTGGTCATCTCTCGTATCAGGAACGGTTGAGGGCCACAGGGCTAACAACACCACAAACCAGGCATGACAGGGCGGACTTCATAGAAACCTTTAAAATTCCAAACAATTTGGAGGATGTCGATCAGGACAATGTCTTCAAAAGGTCAGATGTTACATGAACAAGGAGCAACGGGTTCAAACTCAACAAACCAGAATGTTGGACAGGAAACAGATGTTTTTTCACCCATAGGGTTGTAAACCCGTGGAACCGCCTATCCGCCGAAGCCGTAAACGCCAAAACCCTGCTGGGGTTTTAAAATATAGCTGGAAAAGATCCTCAGGGCAAATGGGGGTACCTTTGACAAGCCGCCGGCTTACAATCCTCATCGAGGCCAATAGTGTTAGTGGCCCTCAGGTAAATTAAGTTCCTGGAGGGGTGACCCTGCTCCTTCCTGTTGGAAAGTTGTTCATCTATTGCAGTGTACACAGGACTGTCGCCTGTCACTAAACTTAGTTTTTAAACTATTAACGTGATGAAATAATATTACGTTATACGCGAGAATAATTCTGAATACACAGCGATAAAATTGACGAACGCGGCTTTGGGTTGGGCGGCGGCGTAGGCGAGCCTGGCCTGAGGACAGGCAACTGTAAATGCTTCACCCTCCACATACTTCAAGTGCAAATAATTGCCAACAGAACCTAAATACCGAACCTACTATACATCTAATTAAACATAGAATATAAAATTTATTTAATCACGATAAAAACTATTTTTAATACACAGTATATTTAAGTCGATAATAAATGCGTCTTGGGAGGTGGAGGCAGGGGTAACCGCCGGGTTAACGAGCCTAGCCTGACGACGGGGTAGTTTAACACTATGGGGAAGTGTATTCTACATAATATCCTACCCATATAATGTTGGCAAATCATGATCCTCAAAATCATCCACAATATCCGAGAGAGGACAGACTATTTAGCATTAGTGGAATGCAAACATTTGAATACTACAGAACATGGATGAAAAAAAAATACGGAAACAATGAACCTCAGAGACATTAAAAAAAACTCTTTGTGATAATGCATTTAGCATTGTAGGTGGAGGTAGACTATATATTCATGTATACCTCCCAATTGCTCAGACAGCAAAAATAATTGATCAGCCTTACCTACACGGGAACGACGATGCTCACGCCGCCCCTGCTTCCTTACGACTGACCGGGTCGTCGTCGATGACCCGGTCACCCAACCGACCCAGAGAACCCCTGCCTAAAATTATTTGAACGCCATATTGAAATTCCCAGCGTATATAGCGCCAAGAGTGTGTAAAATAATATTTATTTATATGCATTATAGGCCTTTCTAAAGTAACTTATAAATCTGAATATCATATATTGTCTAACAAACGAATTAGTTAAGTTAATATTTTAATTATGCCAGATACAAGTCTCATCGCACAGAAAAAGATTCGTCAGCGAATTTTTTTTATTTATTTATTTTATTTATATATAAAGAGTTCTTAAATTCTTGTAAAAACACTAGCAAGCATAGCATTTCGGGCATTTCCTTAATCCTAATTTTTTCCCCCGGAATACGACCCGCCAAACAGGTCAAACAACCTATTCTCTGCTGAGTGAACAGTTAAGGATTGTCGCAAGGTCAATCCTTCCCGGCCAGCAGGTCAAACCTTTTAAATCTGTGTCTGTGGCTGCTTGTTTGTGTTGCATCTGACCATAAATAATCATCATTGAGTTTCTTAATATTAATAGCCCAAATTAGCCCCATCTTGCTTTTAAATTAGCCCAAAAAGTAACAAGTAGCGAAATTGAAAATTTGGGAGCGCGGGGCTCTCAAAATTAGCCCAATTCGCTACTTGTAGCCCAATCTGGCAAGCGCACGACCAAGATGTATTCCCAGGCGGGAGACTCCCACGCGCCAGACGATGATGCCCACTAGACCTGGTCCTGCCATCTTGTGGTCTGATTCTAAACTTCTCCCACACATCAATTTTTTTTTTTTTTTTTTTTTTGAGATATATACAAGAGTTGTTACATTCTTGTACAGCCACTAGTACGCGTAGCGTTCCGGGCAGGTCCCTGGAATACGATCCCCTGCCGCGAAGAATCGTTTTTTCATCCAAGTACACATTTTACTGTTGCGTTAAACAGAGGCTACAGATAAGGAATTGCGCCCAGTAAATCCTCCCCGGCCAGGATACGAACCCATGACAGCGCTCGCGGAACGCCAGGCGAGTGTCTTACCACTACACCACGGAGACTGCCAAAATTAAATCAAATCAAATGCTTATTCAGGTAAATGTACATACATAGAAGATTAGTTTCAAACATAATGTTGGATTTATAGATAGAGCGCCTAATGTGGGGGTACTTAATTATTAATTAATATATTTAATACATATATATGTAAGATTTTATAACTTAAGATATGCATTAAGAAAATATAATTTCTTATAAGTATAATAAATGAACTTAGTTGTAAAATTCCATTTATGAATATGTATTATAACGTAACTGAATAATAGAGTTGGTACTTACCAGCGACAAGCTGCAGTTATAATTCTTACATTAGTAATGGAGAAGTATATAATTAAGGTAATTACTATGTTCAGTAAGTATTGCAGTCCATAGTATGAAAGAGTATAAGTTTACATTTCCCTTTAATGGTAAAACTTAGACAAGTGCGATGAACTTAAACAACTCTAGTACAATTATGGCCTAGCTGAGGTCCTCAGCTAGTCCTCAGTCGGTCTGAGGAGTAGTACGGATGATTGGTTGCGGTGATTGAGAATTTGGGGGGGCCAGTCACCGCTGGAGTGTCGGGTTTCTTGATACGTTTCCAATTTGGAGTTAAAGAATACTTATGAGAAAAATGATTTCCGAGATCTTAGATGTTTGTTTAAAGTTCTTATGGGAGAAATTCAAAATTTTTCAGAGTTCAGTTTTATGAAAATATTTCAGAGTTCATTTTATCATAGAAGTTTATTTATGAGTTTATGACCGAAATTTTGAAAAAAGACTATTTTCAGAGAATATGTTCATAGAAGTTTGTTAAGAGTTAATGCCTGGGGACCATTCAGGCTTGTTGACATTTGTGTTCCTCACGTGTGCCCCAAAGAATGAGATGATTTGATAAAATACCATGCCCAAGATTATCATCAGAGTGCCAGCGGGATGATGGGGAATTAGCCTCGGCTACCATCATCTTTCGTCGTGTCGAGTGGTTAAGGTGTCCTGTACACCAGTTGCAGAGTGCTCCTGGCAGTATGGGTTCGAGTCACTTCTGGGCTGTAGGTGGGTCCCCACTTCGATCCGGGGAGACCAAATCCCATGATAGAATAAACAAAATTGCCACCGAACCACGGAAATTACACTCAGAACTAATTCGTGTATATTAATTAATACTATTGATGATCTGAATATTAACAATATAAATATACATTAATGTACTAAGTAATTTAGATAAATTAGAATAGCAGTAATGAAAGAAAGATATGTCAAATGCGGCCACTGTACAGTGCCTTAGGATGCAGGACAAAACTAATCATCAGTTACATACAGAAATCATAATAACGCGATGCAGCAAATGAACAAATCGATTAAGGCAGCGTCTGGGATGCTCCCGAACGCAGGTGCGAATCCTCATCACGGCCCTTGTGGATTTGTTCATTTAATCATCAGTTGTACCACGGTAATTGTCTCAAGATCCGAGACGCCGTAAGCATCACGAGCGACACACTTCATCTGAATGACTTCTAGTTCTTGGTTGTTCAGGGTGTCTTGACTAGTAGTATATAGTGAGTGATGAGCGTCCTAATTATCGTCGTCGTCATCATCTTCACTATCATCATTATTCATGTACTCCAAATGCTCAGACTGTTCATGTACTTTATACGCTCAGACCGCTCATGTGCTTCAATACTCAGAATTTTTGTTTAGCTTGGAACTAATTGATTATTCAATCAGTAACATATGTGTATAACATACACAAGCTATGGAACGATGCTTCTTACGATAGCTGACTTACGGTTCATATTAAGACTGTTTAATATGTCTGTGTGTAAGAGTAGGAGTAAAATATAGTCAAGATGCCCATTGGGTGAGCGGGACGTGGATATAATTGAAGATTAACTTAAGACAGGCGTCGCTGTAGGAGAAGAAAGAGTACCGGGGCTTGTCTAGGCCTCTAGGACGAAGCCGTGAATACGCTCCGTGCAGATTAAACCTATTTTCAATTATTTTGTAAGCAGGAGACACATTAAGTATATGGATACAGGCGAGCCAATCATAGGACCCCGAGACACGACGGGGGAGGTGATATTGGCTGCTCTCGTCCCTCCCACAGTGCTGTGTTCGGTTCCAGTGTGGTCTCATCTCCGCGCCTGAGTGATTGTTATAACGTCTTCAGATCACATCAGTCAGATGAGTCAAGATACGTACTATCTTAAGTGTTGCTACTTAAGAGCTCCGAATTAGTGGTGGTGTAAGCACTTCATATTACTCTTGAAATTGGTGCATAACACGAAAGCATACATATGCGGATTCTACCTGGTGTTTTAAGAAGGATTTGATTTGAATATAATTAAATTATTATGCACCCCATACCCATCCTGTGGGCGGTAGTGGAAAAGGTTATAGAGGCACGTGATGGGCTGAGGAACTGAACCCTAAAATTCATTTAGCTAAGCAAGTTACAGTCTTGATTAGCTAGTTACGCAATTTAATGTGTATATATGTATACAGTATACCGAGTGATGTCTGGGGCCAGGGTTGGATATTGTCCTAATAGCAGCTTTGTGTTGAGTAATTAGAGGACGTAAATGATTTTGGGTAGTAGAACCCCAAGCACAAATACCATAGTTGAGATAAGGATAGATGAGGGAGTAATAGAGCGTCGCCAGGGCAGGGCGAGGTACATAATATCTGATCTTAGAAAGAATGTCAACAGTTTTGTTTAACTTTTTTTGATATATTTAGAATGTGTCCCTGGAAATTCAGCTTGCGGTCAATGAGAACGCTAAGGAATTTGCCATCTACTTTGTTACAAATTTGGGTATTGTTTATCCTGAGATTTATTTGATTTGAGGATTTATTGCCAAACAAAATATAGAAAGTTTTGTCAATGTTGAAGGTGAGTTTGTTGGCAGTTAGCCAAAGATGGACTTTATTTAGCTCAGTATTCACTGTGACATTTAGAGCAAGGGGGTCAGGACTGGAGTAAATGAAGGTTGTGTCGTCAGCAAATAGAATTGGTTTGAGGTGTTGGGAGGCATTTGGAAGGTCATTAATGTAGATGAGAAAGAGGAGAGGGCCAAGTATGCTGCCCTAAGGAACACCAATGTTGATGGGTAGGGTGGGAGAAATTGAATTATTCACAGAAATATATTGGAGCCTGTCAGTAAGGTAAGATTTGAGGTATTGTAGGGAGTGACCTCTGACTCCATAATGATGTAATTTAAGAAGAAGGTTTTAGTGGCTGACAGTGTCAAAAGCCTTACGCAGGTCCACAAATAACATAACAGGGAACTCATTTTTATCAAGAGCTGCATGTATCAAGTTAATCATACTAAGAAGTGCATCGTTAGTGCTTTTTTTGGGGCCTGCAGCCATGTTGACAAGAGCTAAGTATATTGTGTTTGGCTAGATAAGAGTAAAGCTGCTTGTAGATTAGTTTTTCAAATATTTTTGACAAGTTTGGCAGGATTGTTATAGGTCTGTAGTTGTTAACATCAGTGAGATCACCACATTTGTGGACAGGGGTTACTCTCATTTTTTTTAGAATATCTGGAAAGGTTTGGAGTTCAAGTGACTTGTTGAAGAGCAATGCAATAGCAGGAGCTAAAGATCTTGAGGCGTTTTTGTAAATTAAAGTTGGTATCTCCTCAAGGGCACTAGACTTGGTTTTAAGGGAAAGGATTATCTCATTGACATCAGTGGGATTAGCAGGCGTTAGGTACAGAGACTGTGGATAGTTACCTGTAAGATAGTCCTGAACATCAGTACTGGAAGATGGAATATCATTTGCAAGGGACGACCCAATGGAAGAGAAACTATACTTTTCTTTAAATAAAAAAAGGTTATAGTTTTGTTAAATCGTACATGAAAATGTGGTTGGATGATGCTGTTGTTGCTGTTAAAGATTCGCTACCCGGAACAAAAAGTTCCAAGTAGCACGGGCTATGGTGAGCCCGTATTTTAAAAGTTGGATGAGATAAATAATTTGTTTTATAACCTACTTTGGAACATTTGGAAGCCATGAACTGGAGTTGGAAGGTGTGGATCAGTTGAGTCCGTGGCTGCTGTTGCATGCAAGAACCGGAGATGAGCAGCAATTGTCTAATGGTAGAGTGAGTGTCTGGGGGGGGGGGTAGGGGCTCTCTCCCACCTCCACATCCACTCCCAGCATCCCTCCCATCTCCCCCTTCCATCCCGTCAAAACCTACCTAGGCATATCTCTCTTCCAGTGCATAATAAATGAACTAAACTAAAAACTCTCCTCCAACCTCTCTACATTTTCTTCCATAGTTTTATATTGTCCCGTGGACATATTCTCTGTGGATATATTTTCCTCTGGACATATTCTCCCTGGATATACTTAATAATAGTTATTCAGTAGATGTACCTTAAAATAGTTCATAAGGACTTATCTGAGGCAAACTCCCAAGAGTCAACAAAATACGATATTGAGTCCCCCGTGGCGCAGTGGTAAAACACTCGCCCGGTGCTTTGGTCTGGGTTCATATCCTGGGGCCAGATTCACGAAAGCACTTACGCAAGCACTTACAAATGTGTACATCTTTCCTCAATCTTCGACGGCTTTGGTTACATTTATTAAACAGTTTACAAGCATGAAAACTTGCCATTCAACTGTTGTTATTGTTATAAACAGCCTCCTGGTGCTTCAGAGCTAATTGTTGAATAATTGGGAACAAAGCCGCCAAAGACTGAGAAAAGATGTACAGGTTCGTGTTTGCGTAAGTGCTTTCGTGAATCTGGCCCCTGGCCAGGGAAGATTGATTGAACACCAATTCTTAACTGTAACCTCTATTCACCCAGCAGTGAATGGATATCTTTGTTAAACGATTTGGCTGGTCGTATTCCGGGGAAAATTAGGATTAAGGATCTGGCCGAAACGCTACGCGTGCTGGTGGCTTTATAAGACTGTAACAACTCTTGTATATAGAAATAAAATAGAACAAATGATCGCTAGCCCTCAGTTACCAATTGAATCCCCATCCCCATGGTGCCTCAGAGTAGCCCTAAGGAGCATACAGTAAAAGTCTACTCTGACACATTTAACAATCACTAACCTCTCACTCTAGTTCCATCATATATAATGTACCCTTCTGGTTGTCTATTAATTCTCTAATTTACACATTATCTTTTCCTAAAACTAGCCAGGAGCTTACAAGGCAATAGTTACTTATACATCTGGCAGCAATGAAGGCTAAACTGTCTCCAGAGTCAACGTATTCACTTTATCTGCTTGCAACATATGTTTTACTATTCAAGATCGCCCTGATCATAGCACTTATCAAACAAGAAGATTAACATTTGCCAACTGCAAAAATTGATATTATCTTGCAGTTCCTATATTTGACAAATAGTGTTTACCTAACTTAAACAATAAAATAACTAGCAAATAAAGAACACGTACTGAATAAAATTACCTATCAGAAGAAGAGAGATCACACAACAATATCCAGATTTCTTCTGATTGGTAATTGAATTCAGTATGAGTTCAAACAATGTGGGGTTTTATTATTCTACACATATTTCTAATGTCTCTTAGATGTTTACATTCTCTTAGGTAGTGGTCAAGGCGGTGTCCGTTACTCTCACCACAGATTCTGCAGCTCTGTCAGCTGTTGTTACCATCCCGAATCTCTATGGATATTTGTATCCAAGACGAATTCTTACAATTACTGATTCTCTCCCGCGGCCACCTCCTCTTCGTCCATAATGATTGGGATTGCCAGCTGCAACCACATTGTACCAGCGAACACACTGACTTATTTGCTCTTCTATGCACACCCTCCGTCACTATGTGATGGAGTGCAAAAAGATACGTGAATTTAGAGACAATTCTATAACCAATGTTCCAGCGATGTGTCAATATTTCATTCAAAATGATCTGCTACCAGAAATTTTAGCCAAATATCCCCAGTTTGCTAACTGTAGGTAGTAACTAAGTGATTGTAACCTATCCACCGCTGCCCACTGGATGGGGGGCGGTGTGCAGGACAAACATATAAATTTTGACACTAGCTCTCCACATATGTCAGTTGCTTAATTTAGAACCTGTACTTGAGGTCGATCTCGAACCCATTGTTGATGTAATGACTTATATTGAATTTTGTAACTAGCTCATCAAGATTGTAACTTGCTTAGCTAAATGAATTGTGAGGTTCAGTCCCTGAGCCCATTATGTGCCTCTGTAACCCTTTCCACTACCGCCCACAAGATGGGTATGGGGTGCATAATAAATGAACTAAAGTAAACTATCTTCCTTGCATCTGAATGATGCATTTAGGAGTTACACTGATGCTCTGTTTAATCTTGCCCAGACACCGTTTGGTGTCGTGAGAGTTTAGTTTAGTTTAGTTCATTTATTATGCACCCAATACCCATCTTGTGGGCGGTAGTGGAAAGGGTTACAGAGGCACGAGAGCCACTGTAACAACTACACCTAATTGGATGATCACATTGCCAGGTACTGTGATCACACCCTTGGCAGTTGCCACATAAGGATGGACCACCTCAATTTTACGAACCGCTAGGCTTTTAAGTACATCAATTTTTGCCCTTAGGGGAATTTACATGTACAAATGTGGTGTCTGTACTATTCGAGAGGACCCGTCTTCTCGAGTAGTACAGCAAGACGGTAACACAAACTATTTCTTCAATTTCACTCAGTTTAAACAGAGGAGCATCAGCAATGGCGCTAAAGCTGAATCTAACTGTGGACGTCTCGAGCCCAGATAGTCTGCTCAAGGGGGCCAGACAGATAGTTCAACACGTCAGACCAGAGTGGCCTCAAGATCAACTTAAGTTCAAGGTAAGAGAGCCAGAAGAGTTTTTACACCAGCTTTTAGGATTAAGTTCCCGTGTAAATAATGTAAAGTAACCAAGGAACGGTATTAAGATATTTTACGATTCTTACTTACACAAGTTTCTAAGGGCAGTTCTTATGTTGGCAACCTAGCATATGCCGCTGATGATATCCTTTTGATGTGGGCCGCTGGGGACAGGTTCGGTGTGATATCAAACACAGGTTTTTCTGTGAGTGTGTGTATTCACCTAGTTGTATTCACCTAGATGTGTTTGCGGGGGTTGAGTCCGCCTCTCAACTGTCAATCGACTGTTTACTAACTACTTTCTTTTTCCTCCACACCACACACACACACACACACCCAGGAAGCAGCCCGTGACAGCTGACTAACTCCAAGGTACCTATTTACTGCTAGGTAACAGGGGCATTCAGGGTGAAAGAAAATGTGCCCATTAGTTTCTGCCTGGTGCGGGAATCGAACCCGCGCCACAAAATTACGAGTCCTGCGCGCTATCCACCAGGCTACCAGCCCCCAAGTTGTGTGTGTGTACACGGTTTTGATAATCACAAAACGAACTTTGTGGAATATACTTGCTTAAATTGTCAAGTGTACCCTCCAAGGACACTAACCAGTCGCTGGCCGCTTAAGCAAAAGTTCACTTGTTCTGAGAGTGACCTGCGTACAAAAAATAGCCCCGAGCCGCGTGTGGTGTGCACTGCAGGGCGGGATATACAGCGTCAATACACACCTACCAACATTTATTTTGAGGGTCCCGGTAGTACAGTCGGGTTCGTTCTCGACGCACACTCGAGAATCCCGGGTTCGAATCCCGGGCGGGATTCAAAAATAGTTGGGCATATTTTTCTTTCATCTAATGCCTCTGCTCACCTAGCATTGAGTAGATAGTCAGGACTTAGCTTGTTGTGAGGCTCCATCCTGGGCGGGGTCTGTAATTCGGCCTTAGGCAGGTTGGGGGGGGGGGCAGTGAAGGGCACGATAAAAGTCAAACGTGTATGAATACACTCTGGCTTCCTGTCACCCCCGACATCGTGAATCACTAATTATATAAGCAAGCTTCGTCGCAGCTTGCGAAGCATAAACCCCAAATTGAAAAGTACAAAGTTTTACAACCACTTAGCCAGAGCTAAGTGGGTTAAGCTATAAGAACAGGTTACGGAAACCAGACCTCACAACCCTAAAGGAGAGAAGACACAGAGATGGACATGATCGCAACATACAGATACTAAGGGGAATATACAAGGTGGACAAGGACAGCCTCATTAAATTGAGAGAAAGTAGGACGTGCCCAGCCCATACGCTCACCTGATCTACCTCATCTACACCCAGCAAATATAATCTTCCGAAATCCTAATGAATTTTATTTGGTGGTGAAAATATTGACTCGTATATTTCACAGCCATACAGTATATTGGCTTCTGCAATAATTATTTTTCATAATATTTGTGATATACGATGTTAATACATTATGAACAACTGCATATTAGTGGCTGTAGGCATTGTATTTCTTACCTATGATTCCTCCACTGTTCCTTCATCATATGTATCTTATGCATTATCATTATAATTATTATTAATTTATTATTATTATTATTATTATTGACTACCAATATTCTTAAATGTTAACCGAGTGATCATTAATATTTAAACACCATTTATCCAGTTAAACAGATTATGTACAATTTTTGTTTATTTTTTTCCTTTTGATATGTGTGAAAGGGCGCCAAACTCCAGCTAAAGGAAAACTTGTCCACAGTGTTAAATACTGTGCTTGACTCCTCAGGTGTACACGGCAGGGTTCACGAACCATCTGGTGGGTGTGTGGTGCGGGGACACCACCAGCCAGGTCCTGGTGCGTGTCTATGGCTCCAAGACAGAGATGTTTATTGACAGAGGCACAGAAAGGAGAACCTTCGAGGTAAGGTTCAAGCATCAGAACATTTTATAGCCTTGTGGGGTCATATCCTAAATTTTTAGGGATATTGCTAAGTTGGATTAGAGCTTAGTTATATCAAAGATTGAAATAACTCAATCACAAATTGAATTAAGTCACAGTGGGAAACCGTAGTTAGTAAAGTGCCCCCCAAGGCTCTGTCCTGGGCCCTCTGTTGTTTACCACATATATAAACGATTCAGACAAGGCTGTACGGCAACATTTGGAAAAATAAAATCAGGTTTTACACAGGGCGGGGTGTGGACCGGCGCTGTACGCTGTGTTTGACAACGGGCTGAGTTACGGGTTCACCCAAGGCGTCACTCTCACCGCTACCCTGGTCACTCACCAGCCTGTCTGGCGAGCCATCACCAAGCACATGGCCAAATATCATAAAATTAAGGTAAACATGTCTATATATTTCATGATATGTAAATAAGACTCATGCCTAAACGTTAAAATGGACATGATAGTGTTGACGAATCATGATGAGTATAATTAACGTATTCTATAGTGGTACAAAACACAAAGGTGTTCTGAGAATCTTTCGGAATATATAAATATATATTACATACTTACAGGAAGGAGATCTGGAGCATCCAGTCCTGTTTCCCAAGATGCGGTCATTCCTGAGTTTCGTACCGGTTACCTTCGAGGGCGCCGGCATGCAAATGAGGTCAGGTAGCCTATTTATCTACTTCATTTTATGTATTTATGCACAAACTTAGGTAAACACAACAATGTGCCGTTACTTTTTTATATTAATAATATCTCGGAGCTCCTCAAATATCCCCATCTAACAGGATATTTAATCGTACGTGAAATCAAAAAATAATAAAAGTATGTAACAGCATTAATTATGTAGTCGTTTTCAATTCATCTCCGTGAGCAAATTTCTTCCATGAGGACAGGGACACTGATCACTTGTATGCAGAAAATCCACAGAGAAATGGGAAAGGAAGATGAACGTTTCGGCCGATCAAATTACTCAATTAATCATTGTTTGAATAACCGAAAGTTATAATGTTTCACTCTTTCGCCGGTATATGTTATTGATTTTTCTTTTTGCATCGCATAGTCCTCCCTTCCCTGACATCCATGAGCACATCTAGCTGCATCTTACACAGCCTTAGTAGCGCTATGTCATGGGTTCGTATCCTGGCCGGGGAGGATTTACTGGGCGCAATTCCTTAACTGTAGCCTCTGTTTAACGCAACAGTAAAATGTGTACTTGGATGAAAAAACGATTCTTCGCGGCAGGGGATCGTATTCCAGGGACCATAGGATTAAGGACTTGCCCGAAACGCTACGCGTACTAGTGGCTGTACAAGAATGTAACAACTCTTGTATATATCTCAAAAAAAAAAAATAAATAAATAAAGAACCTCTCTGTTTCTGTTTCAGAATAGACGCATGTGGATACAGTAAACATTTACTTAGTAAGGAAATAGATGAGCTGGAGGAGCACCTGACTGGCCTCGGGTGCCCCGTAGTGTTCTCCCACAACGACCTCCTCCTGGCTAACATTGTGTGGGAGGAGACCACTAGCACAGTCGGCTTTATTGACTATGAGTACGGCGGCACCAATTACCAGCCATTTGACATTGGCAACCACTTCAGCGAATTTGCTGGTGCGTGGCTGTTGTGTTAATTATGCTTATTGGGAATGTGCAGCAATTCATATTAAATAGCTCGGTGTGGTGTGGCGGATAACGCTATCACCCCCAGTTGACTCGTGGGGCGTTAGCGCCCTGCTGGGTTCAAATCCTGGGTAGGAAGAGGCGATTGGCAACCAATATTAACGGTTTTTCCCTTCACTCAACAATAATTGCGAATCTGACTGTAAAGCGATTGGTTATATTGATGAGGCTATTGTGCAATTAAAGAAATTGTAAAGTAGCTGTACAGTTTTATATATTAGTAACTTCTGTGCTGTAGCAGATAAAGGCAATCTGTAAAACTGTTGAGAATGCGATTGTTCAACAATTTGATGGCCCACCTTGCCACTTTCCTGGTGGTGTTAGGGAATTCCTGGACAAAGTTTTCCTAGACATGGGCTGGAAGAGATCACGGGGTCAGCTCGCTCACCAAACTGGTCCTCACTGCAGGCGAGGAGTCACAATAACGTGGCTAAAGTATGTTGACCAGACCACACACTAGAAGGTGAAGGGACGACGACGTTTCGGTCCGTCCTGGACCATTCTCAAGTCGATTGTGGTCCTCATTGGACTTTATAAACAAAACCTCGCTCCTAGAACGCTCCTCGAACCAAAATAACAGATGTGGTGGTGCCAGAACTGTAACCCAAATGTGCAACGTGTTTGTAAAACTTATATCAGTACATTCACCCAGGTGTCATATGCAACATATGTTAGGTGTCAAACGCATGCCCAATTTTATTTCAGACATCATGAAAATAGCAGTAAGGGGATCAGTATAGATGCTGGTATTTCTTAAAGTATGTCACCTGAGTCGATCCCGACTGGCCTGTGACACTCATACACCGCCATGTTTCATGTGGGAAAGTTGGGTGAGACTAGCCACCAATTTGATAAATATATGCAAAATTATACCAAAGAATAATTAAATATTTTGTTGTGAAGGTGTGGAGAAAGTGGACTACAGTTGGTACCCGTGTGCGGAGTTCCAGCGCCAGTGGCTACGAAGCTACCTCTCGCACTACAGAGAGGTACCCGAGGAGCAGGTACCAGATATTGAGGTGGAGCTTTGGTACACCTGGACCAATAAGTTTGCCCTTGCCTCGCACCTGCTGTGGGGCACCTGGGCCATGGTTCAAGCCACCTGCTCCTCTATAGACTTCGATTACCTCGGGTATGTATCACACATATGGTTAGTTCACGCGGTTGTTGCTGGTGACGCAGTGGTTGGTTGTTGCTACTACTGGTAGTTAGTTTATTGTGCACCCCTATACTCATCCTGTGAGAGGGGTAGTTTATTGTGCACCCCCCATACTCATCCTGTGAGAGGGGTAATGAAAACAAAGAAACTGCTGCTTACACTACAATTTATGTGCATCACAATGCAATATTTGCAGATTATAACTAAACCCTTGACATAATACTTCACAGAATGTTTACTGGAGTGTCATATTCTGCTCTAACTGGGCACAGATGTGCTCTGGCACTGTGGCAGTTGATGGCACATTCTTGCCATGATGTTGTTATGGGCAGTTACTCTTAAATAAAGTTTATACCTGATGGAAAATTAATTAATACTATTTTTTATTAGATCAGTTTATATGACCAGGCTTCAGATGAGCTGATGTAGGATAACAGTTCTTATCATTGTTGTTGAACTCTAGTCTGAGATAAAATGGGAGAGACAGAGAAGAGAGTCATATAGAAACCCACAGCTATCCATACACACTCAATATTCTCATTTTAATTGTTGACAGGTATGGCATTACAAGAATAAATGAATATTTCAAGAGAAAAGATGAGTTCCTGAGCCTGACTGCACCTACCTCTTCACAGTGACCTAACACTGAACCAAACTAGTGCCAAGACCATCACTGATAGTCATCCACAGAATCTGTGCGTCACAGAGTGGACGATGTTGAAACTGAAATTGAAATAAGTTTATTGAGGTAAAATACACACAAAGGGATGAGGTAGCTCAAGCTATTCTAACCCCGTTCAGTACATCGTGTTCATACATACATAGACACATATCACAAACTATAAACATATTACCGAACATTCTGAGAAGGGACGATGTTAGGCTGCCTGGACTCTGTGACTCGCGACGTAGCCTCGCCAATGCAAATATGTAAATGCAGTGTTTCCCCTGAGAGCAACACTTTCAATCTATTGACGTTTTCCAAAGTTTAATATTCACCGACAGTTCTGCTGAGACTGGACTTTACATTTGCGCAGCACCATTTAGTTATGAAAACTGTAAGAAATACAAAGCTGGTTGGTTTTGGACGCTATTTGCGTATTATATATTTCTGGCTTTAACTTTCCTTTGGAATAAACCAACTCCTTTCTTCTGTACAAGATACATGTTGTAGTGTTAGGTAGGAAAGGTAGTTAGCGATTAGAGAACTGCAACATGATTTAGCATAACAAAGCAACCTTACAAATAGTCATAGCAAACCCAATTTTTTTAATACGGTTATAACTAATAACACAACTCACACATGTGAAAATAACTCGCAACAAGCACTTAAGATAACCAACACCTCACAACAGGCACTTAAATATAACCAACACCCTCACAGGGCACTTAAAGATAACCTACACCTCACAACAGGCCCTTGAAGTAACCTACACCTCTCAACAGGCACAGAATCATGAGACATCTCTGAACACAGGATCCTTATCATATCGGGTACTATTGAGACAAGATGGTGGAGTCATCCGTGTGTTTGTGTGTGCTTGACATTTAGCCTTGATAATGCTGTCTTAAAGGTCAGAGGCTTGTGTCTCAAATTTGTTACATCATCTGACATGTTGAGCACGCACACATACAACCACACCCGCATTTTTAGGACTGTCAGAAAGCCTTTGACACAGTACCCCGTAAAAGGCTGTTACAAAAGTTGGAGAACAAGGCAGGAGTAAAAGATAAGGCGCACCATTGGATAAGGTGCTCCAAACAACGGGAAACAGCGAGTAACTGTGAGGGCGGAGACACCAGAGTGGCGAGATGTCACCAGTGGAGTGCCACAAGGCTCTGTACTTGGACCCATCCTGTTTCTGATATATGTAAACAATCATCCAGAGGGTATAGACTCATTCCCCTCAATGTTTGCTGATGATGCAAACATTAGGAGAAGAATCAAGACAGAGACTACAGGACGACCTGGACAAACTGGAGGAATGGTCTAGAAAATGGCTACTAAAGCTCAATTCAGGAAAGTATAAAGTAATGAAATTAGGCGAAGGGATCAGGAAGCGGAACGAAAGGTACCATCTGGTAACTTCTCAATCCCTTTGAATATTATAATTTTTATTACATCATTGTAATCATTTAAATGTAAAAAGACTGTTTTAATAAAGATAATAAAACTAACAATTTTCTTCACTCTTTTATATGGATAAAGATATTTTAACACCATTACCCACAAGCCTAAGTATAGGTGGACCAACCGTAAAATCCTAGTTAAGCACCCGTTCGGGCCTTTAGAAACCTCCCAGTGAATTCAGTGGAATTCCAGGTTGGTTGGCTTTTGTCCTATCGTAGCCTAGTGCGTCCTACCGTAGCCTAGTGCGTTAACCAAAGATCCCGGTTTGCAGGGAGCTGTACTGGGACGGTAAACGTAAACTACTATATATACGTAGCCAAGATGAGTGAGGAATACGTGAGGAGGGTTAGGACGTGACAGTTATTCACATAGAACAGGGCACCAACACGTTGTTGTGTGCACCTAAGCGTGTTAATTATATAAAAAAAGTCAACATGGCAGGATCATGTTGGGGAATACCATTATACTTGGCTGGTGGCTAGAGGTAACGAATCTTCCAACCCTGAACAGACCCACATGGTTGAAGGCCACACGGCTGACAATATGTACTGCGCACTTTATAACCCCGGCATGTGAAATAAATATTAGGAATGTAACGTCCATTATAAACAACATCGTTAACACACAGAGCAAGAGTTTCAGTCTCATTTGTATGGACATCATCTCACATAAGTGTTGACCAGTGTATGACACGGACAAGGCAGCTAAAACTGCATGTGATGCAATGTATGACTAACCTTCCTGTGAGACGGTGATGTTAGATTAACTTATATCAATTGTTTTTATCTACAGTCTGCAATCTTTCATGCAGAATCAGCACATTATGCTGTGTATACCTAAGCTTGTTAATATAATAAAACTGCAAACAACATGACAAGGTTGATCTCACCAAAACTTTTAAAATACTGAACAATTTGGAGGATGTTGATTCAGATCACTTCTTCAAAAGATCAAATGTAACACGAACAAAGAGAAACGGTTTCAAGCTCAACAAACCACAATGAGTTAAAAGTTGGGAGTCCTTGGGAGATCATTAATACCTGCGAGTTGATATCACGCCAGACATGTTCCCTGAAGCCCACATCTATAGGTTGGACAACATAAGAACTACCTTTAAAAACTTGTGTAAGGAATAATTTAGGATCTTATATACCACATATGATTTAACTATTCCTATATTTACAGTTGTTTCTCCCTGTGAAGATTATTAAACAATGGTGATTATAAGGGCGCGGAAGTTCAGCCTGGCCAGGGCCGCCAGCAGCCCTTGGGCCCGCCCCGGCAGCACCCAGTCTTTAATTTGGCACCTTTGTGGCACCTTGGTATAAGCCTAACATGTATATATACACTGGCTGCCTGTCCCCCTACACAATGATTTATTATTACCTATTATTTTATCATTTAATTTAAATATTAAATAAAATAATTTATTTAATTATTATAGTAAGTACTTAATAATTTAATAATAAGTAGTAAGTACATAAAAATTATTAAAAAGTACAGTTTAGTCATAGGAGATTCCTAGATTGGAATTCACTACCAAATTTCAATATATCCAAGTATTTTTAGTGTGAAATGCTGTTATTATATGCATAAATTGTTGTTTTAATAATATTACGCTTAACCACTTGGGCTGGACGGTAGAGCGACGGTCTCGTTTCCTACAGGTCCGCGTTCAATCCCCGACCGCCCAAGAGGTTGGGCACCATTCCTTTCCCCGTTCCATCCCAAATCCGTATCCTGATCCCTTCCGAGTGCTATATAGTCGTAATGGCTTGGCGCTTTCACTTGATAGTTCCCCCACCCCTCCTGAATAATATTACGAGAGCAGTATTTACGGGCTATTCATGCCCGTGCCACCTCTTGGGTGGCTTAATCTTCATCAATCGAGAGCAGTACGTCCTAACCAGACGTTATATGATGATATCCTGAACAGTGGATAAATAAAAGTAATTGCGGAACTCCAGTTATCTAATACTTATCATAAATGGTATAAAACCTTATCATAAGCCAAGGGATTTGTAGATCAGTGTTTAAAGGGAATTCGGAAGTAATAATAACACAGCTGATGCCATCTGTCGGCAGAAGAGAACACTATCAACTGGCTGGTCAACAGTGGCCATAAGATACAGCTTACGCCATCTGTTGACATCAAATTACACTTATAACAAATTACCCCACAAAATACAACTAACGCCATCTAGTTTTTTTCCAACGCACTATAAATAGCCAAACAGCAACCCATAAGGCGGGTTGTTGTGCTCGGGTAGGAGGTTCCAAGCTCCGCCCACATGGGGTCTGTGTTGACATTCACACAACAGCCAATCACAGGAAGGGATCAGCTAAAGGCTCCATCCACTTAATAAATCATCTTTATTCAGCACACCCTCCTTGCTTATGACATTCTGCTTCAACTTTAATCTACCTAAAAAGTGAAATGTTAAGTATTTAAAAGTATTAATATAGTGATAATTAAATACTGCAGGATGTAACGGGTGTTACAGAAACATGGGCTGGCTACCTAACTTGTGACGTCATCATTGGGTGTTGCCTCACACAAATAATATCGGCGATACAATGCCTCCGCCCTCTTATTATTCTACATTATTCAGTTAGATGGAAATTTCTGTCTTGTATAAAACAGAAATTGTTGTTCTTTTGTACAACAACAAGGTTATTGAGCAAAAGGACGTATTTCTTATTTTGCATTTTATTCATATAAGCGTTGGCATTCCCCGCAACAGCCAATCACAGGAAGGTATTTGTTGGAAACTCTGCCTTCAACAAAGTTGATTCCTAATAAACTCTAACAATAAATTCGTTTAATAAACGAGTATTTAGGGTCAAGCTACAGATGAACATTATAGGATAACGGTGTTTTAGCTTGCAGCTTCGTTAGACAGAATCCCTGGTCTTAATTTTAAAAATAAAGAACTAGAAAGCGTATTTTATTGCTAACTTTTCGAGAAATAAATCCCAGTCTCATATTTGCGAACATTTATGCATTGATTTTTTGGCTTAAGTTCTTATCATAATCCCTTTTGCAATCTCAACACCATCTGGCTCGTATCTTGTAACTATCTTCGTTACTTAGCCTCAAAACCTTACATTTGTCTTACATATCCTCAACAGTAGATAAAAAAAAAGTAATTGCAGAATTCTAGTTACCTAATACCAGCATGGTATAAAACCTTATTATAAGCTACCAGACGTATAGATCAGTGTTTAAAGTAATAATAATACATTATTATTAATGTAATAATATTATTAAAATAATAATAATACAGCTGATGCCATCTGTCGGCAGAAGAGAACACTATCAACTGGCTGGTCAACAGTGGCCATAAGATACAGCTTACGCCATCTGTTGACATCAAATTACACTTATAACAAATTACCCCACAAAATACAACTAACGCCATCTCTTTTTTTTCCAACGCACTATAAATAGCCAAACAGCAACCCATAAGGTGGGTTGTTGTGCTCGGGTAGGAGGTTCCAAGCTCCGCCCACAGATGGTATGGGGTGCATAATAAATGGCATATCATTGGTAGATATTCTTTGTTGACATTCACACAACAGCCAATCACAGGAAGGGATCAGCTATAGGTGCCATCCACTTAGTAAATCATCTTAGTTCAGCCCACTAGTCCTGCTTATGGAATTCTGCTTTAACTTTAATTTACCCAAAACAGTGAAGTGTTAATTATTTAAAGTGTTAATAAAGTGATAATTAAATACTGCAGGCTATAACAGATGTTATATAAAAATGGATTGGCTACCTAACTTGTGATGTTATTATTGGGGGTTGCCTTGACACAAATAATGATACACTGCTCTGCCCTCTTATTCGAGTAAATTATTCAGTTAGATGGAGATTTCTGTCAGGTGCAAAACAGAAATTGTTGTTCTTTTTTCATAACAACCTTGTTGTTGTGCACAAGGACCTATTTCTTAGTTAAAATTTTATTCATAAAAGAGTGTTGGTATTCCCAGCAACAGCCAATCACAGGAAGGTATTTCTGGAAGCTCGGCCTCCTTATGGACTCAGCACATCGCTCTAGCTCATGGCTCTCTCTTTCATCTCTTGTATATACAAACTATGACTTTTTTCGATTACTGTTATTATTAATAATATGAGATATAAAAGTTTTTACACAAAATGGCTAAATTCTGCCATTAAATGGACTTTGTCTGGTATACATAGTTTATTACCATTCATCCAGTATTAATTTCAAATGTAATGTATACTGTCTAGTTTTTTTCCTCTCGCCATTACTTGGTGCAATATTTGAAAGTTGTCTATTTATTTATCGATCTATCTATTATCTTCTATTTATATTTACAAGTTTCTGTGCTTGGAAGAAAACTCTGCATTGAATTGGAATTAATTTATTAAATAATATTATTTATTATTAATTAATAATTACAATTATTATTAATTACAATTATTTATAGCTTAGTTACTTTCATGTAACTCACAATCGTACATTCTTAACTTTAATTGCCCAAATTAGGACAGCTTGCTTTTAAATTAGCCCAAAAAGTAGCGAAATACAAAATTTGGGAGCGCGGGGCTCTCAAAAGTAGCCCAATTCGCTATTTGTAGTCCAATGTGGCAACACTGTATGGTAGATAAAACAGTTTATTTAACACAGGTGGTAGACACTCAAGGGGGACACAGGTGGTAAATGAGTACTCAGATGAACCATAGAAATATTAGGAAGAACTTTTTTAGTGTCAGAGTAGTTAGGAAATGGATTGCATTAGACAATGTGGTGGAGGTTGACTCCATACACAGTTTAATATGCAGATATGATAGAGCCCAAAAGGTTCAGGAATCTGTACACCAATTGATTAACGGTTGAGAGGCGGGACCAAAGAGCCGAAGCTCAACCCCCGCAATCACATCTAGGTAAGTACAATGCAGGGCAGAAAACAGGCGAAGGTTATAAGCCCATGGAACCGCCTACCCGCCGAAACCGTAAATTGATTTATTTACTTATATACTGTATACACAAGAAGGTACATTGGGTTTATGAGAGTATATAGCATTGATGTTTTTACATTCTTGCAAATCCACTAACACGCATATAGCGTTTCCGGCAGGTCCTTAATCTAACATAATTAGGAAAATTGTAGCAAAATTTGAAGAATATTAGCAGGTACATTGTAAAAAAAAAATTAAGAATATTAATAGGTCCATTGTAGTACAATTTTAGGTCAACAGATACATCGTAGCATAATTTGAGGATTATTAGTTACATTGCAGTAAAATTTGCGTTTAACAACTATGATACAAGTTGAAAGCAGTGATTACAAAGATGAAGTTACATGGCTTAGGCACATATATTGAGTGGGTAGTTTAGTTTAGTTCATTTAGTTTAGTTTAGTTCATTTATTATGCACCACAGATTCAAATACCTTGGAATGGGTAGCACAAGATACAGTGTGAGTTTGAAGCACTGCCAAAATATTGAAATTGAAATTGAAATAAGTTTATTGAGGTAAAATACACACAAAGGGATGAGGTAGCTCAAGCTATTCTCACCCCGTTCAGTACAACGTGTTCATACCTATATAGACACACATCACAAACAATAAACATATTACCAAACATTCTGAGAAATAAACATATACATTTCTTCCTTTATACAAGTAGCATGGTATCAGACGCACACACAAATACTTTTATGACTTAGGTATACTTTATAGACAATTTGCAAGAGACATGCAGATAATTCAACAAACGATTACAGTCTTGGTGCAAAATTCTTATATCTGCCAAAATATTGCTGAATGTCAAAATCTAGCTTGATTTTTGGGAGGGGACCTTTGACAAGCTCCTGGCTTCCTGTCCTCGTCGAGACCAGCAGAGAGAAATAATGACCCTCATCTAAATTGAGGTAAAAAAGAAAAAATTCCAGAATCCAGACGAGTATTTTTATGGTGTAAATGGACATAAAAACTTGAGGCTACAACATGTGTTGCCCCGCACCAATTACCTCTTTATTACTAGCTAAACCTTAGGCTTAGTGAGTTCTTTAACTGATCTTTATTTATTATACTTGGAATTTGTGTTAGGACTGGTGGCAGAGGGTTAGTTTAGTGCTGTGGTGGGGAGGGAGGCGGTGATGGACGCCGGGATGGGTGTTGGTGGCAACCGCGGCTGCGTCCTCACCATGAGGTCGTCATTGGTCAGGCGGACCAGTGTGGGGCTGCTGCTGGCTGCTGTAGGGTGACGATCTGTGTCTGGCTGCTGTAGGGTGACGACCAGTGTCTGACTGCTGCAGGCTGTTGTGGGGTGAAGACCAGTGTCTGGCTGCTGCAGGCTGCTGTGGGGTGACGACCAGTGTCTGACTGCTGTAGGCTGTTGTGGGGTGAAGACCAGTGTCTGGCTGCTGCAGGCTGCTGTGGGGTGAAGACCAGTGTCTGGCTGCTGCAGGCTGCTGTGGGGTGAAGACCAGTGTCTGGCTGCTGCAGGCTGCTGTGGGGTGAAGACCAGTGTCTGGCTGCTGCAGGCTGCTGTGGGGTGAAGACCAGTGTCTGGCTGCTGCAGGCTGCTGTGGGGTGAAGACCAGTGTCTGGCTGCTGCAGGCTGCTGTGGGGTGAAGACCAGTGTCTGGCTGCTGCAGGCTGCTGTGGGGTGAAGACCAGTGTCTGGCTGCTGCAGGCTGCTGTGGGGTGAAGACCAGTGTCTGGCTGCTGCAGGCTGCTGTGGGGTGAAGACCAGTGTCTGGCTGCTGCAGGCTGCTGTGGGGTGAAGACCAGTGTCTGGCTGCTGCAGGCTGCTGTGGGGTGAAGACCAGTGTCTGGCTGCTGCAGGCTGCTGTGGGGTGAAGACCAGTGTCTGGCTGCTGCAGGCTGCTGTAGGGTGAGGCGTACTGCTGGAGTCGCTCTGCTGTAGGGTGAGTTGTGCTTTCGGTCGAGACCAGTGATTGTAAGGGTCAAGACAGGCAGTGGTAGGGCCGAGACAGGCTGTGGTAGGGTCAAGACAGGCTGTAGTAGGGTGAGCAAGCACTAGACTACTGGTATAGGGTGACACATCACAAACACACAACCCCTCTGTGTTTAAATTCCTAAACGAGCTGAACATACACTCGTTCCAAACATTCTCTTGTGTTATATCCAAAACTATGTTCCTAAATGCTAATCGTGATTCTAAAACTCTTTCTTAATAGATGTAATAGAACCCATGACCACCACACCAGAAATGAATAACTCTTTGATATCCCTAGAGTCAGACTAAACCTGTGCAAACACTCCATGCATATAAAAGGACCTAGTCTATGGAACTCGTTCCCTAATGAATTACAAATTTGTCCAACCTATGCTTTATTCAAAAGTAAAACCAAAAAGCACTTAATTACAGCCTCATAGTTTCCCTACCTACCATATGCTTCAAACACTCACTCTATCTTTTGCTACCAACTCACCTAATTGCAGTAGAGTAATTAATACATACAACATCACTAGTATAACCAATGCAATCAATTTTTATTGTAATTATTATGTTGAAATAAAATTCTACTTCAATGTACCTTTTAATTACTGTACTCTCTTTATCTGTTAGATTAAGGACCTGCTCGAAATGCTATGCATGTTAGTGGCTTTGCAAGAATACCAGTTACATTCTCAGAACCCAGTGTACCTTCTTGTGTATAAATAAAAAATAAATTTTGTACGAAAGGTTTTGTACTCCATAAATTTTTTGAAATGTAGCATAACCTGGCATAGCCCAGTCCAAATCTAGCATGGTGCAATCCAGCAAAACCTAGCATAGCCTTTATTATTATTATTAATTTATTAGCTATTCTTTGTTATTTGTAATATTAATTATTAATTTTTATAATAATATACTGTAATTATGAGAATTCTCATTGATATGTTAACTTGATTTCTTTGTTTATAATAATAATAATAATTTTGTTTTTTTGCAGTTTAATGAGGGATTTCATAAAATGACACTGAAATTAGAGCTGACTGTTGATGGCTCAAGTCCTGGAGGGCTACAGAATGGGGCAAAGGAGATTGCACGGCATATTCGACCAGAGTGGAATCAAGATAAGCTTAAATTCAAGGTAATATTTATTGTCACTATTATTCTTGTCACTATTGTAGGATGGCTGTGTTTTATTCCTGTGACAAGGCTTACTGTGGCTTGATCAATAAGTATTCAACTTTTAATATATATGTTCAGTATTATACATAGTGTGTTGCTGAATTCAAATTGGCAACTGCAAAGGTATTTTTAGCATTTTTGCGCTGTTTTCAGAGCATAAACATGGTGCAATTTATTTTAAGGTTACCTAGGTTGGATATTGCTGAATTTTTTTTGGCTATGAAAGACTCTTTAAGTACCATTTATTTTTTTTGTCTGATTTGAAAACTTTTAATTTTAAGGTTACAATGGCAGTGTGGTCCTTTTCTAATAAGAAAGCCATCACTTAGCACACATAATTGTATTATATTATAAACCACATTTGATTAACCTATGTTGATTGCTTTGGTTTACAGGTGTACACAGATGGTATTACAAATCAGCTGATTGGTGTATGGCATGATGACAAAAACACCCAGCTATTAGTGCGAGTCTATGGTTCCATGACTGAGATGTTCATTGACAGAGACACTGAAAAGAGCACGTTTGAGGTACACAAAATATCACATCATTGTCCAAATCATGTTCACATAAAAAATTGATATAGTTTTTTGCAAATATGTGTTGTAATCGGATAATATATTACTGTATTACATTTTAAAATTTGTAATTAATAGGACTAATGTAACTGGTAAATTGTTCAGGTTTTAAACAAAGCTGGATGTGGGCCACAACTCTATGCAACCTTTGAGAATGGGCTGAGTTATGGGTTCACTGAAGGCATTCCAGTTACTCCTGAACTCGTGGTTCGGGAGCCTATTTGGAAGTCTGTCTCACAAGAGATGGCTACGTACCATAAAGTTAAGGTAAAGTACATTTAAAAACCGTAAGAGTACATTATTTATTTGTATAGTAAAAAAGAAAAAAGTTTAATAGAACTGGAATCTATGTACGTACTGTAAAGTATCTGTTAAAGTGTGAGCATAGCAGGTTCACGATCCATTGAACCTGCATATGGTTCCCAGGCAGGACAAAATCTTTGGGCACGTTTTATTACATATGATGCCTTTGTACACCTAGCAGTAACTAAGTACCCGAGAGTTGGGCAACTGTTGTGGGTTGTATTCCCCCACAACAGTTGAAAGTGCCCCATTTGTTGCAAAATGTTTGTTATTACTCTCAATCTTCGACAGTTGTTACTTAATTCATTTCTGTTCTGGCCTGGAATCGAACCCAGGATCCCCAATTCTGAGTCGAGAATAATACCAACTGTGAGAAGCATGCTGGTACCTGGTGGCAGTTGGTGAAATCGACCAAGTAATACAGCCAGTAGTCAGTACGGGCCCCTGTTTTGCAATCACTTGTGAGGACGAGCAAGGCCTTACAAGGGCATTGATGTTTTTGTGAAAAGATCTCTGATGGTCATTCCCAGGTACAATTTGATCCTGCAGGGATGTTTGAAAATTTGATGTGGCACTGTGCTGTATGTTCCTCTGCCTGGCTGCACAATCCATGTTCAGTGACACAGTGGCATCCAAATTATATGCACTAGAAAGATGCTTTCACTAAAGCTCAACATCTTATTTTTTGACTGGCTGATGACTCCATACCTCATGAGAGGGTAAATGTAGTAATTACTTATTATTATTTTTATTATTAAAACAATTCTGGTAGATTTTATTGCTATGTGGTGTAATCCTGCTCCATGCAGAACAAAAATTATCAACCAAATCTTCTCTTGCATTTGTAGGTCTCTTTTTCTTCCATGAAGAAAATGTTGGATTAATTTCCTATTTCTACATGCCTTTTGCTCTTAAATTCATTGATACCAGTAAACAAAAATTTTGACAACCTTCTTCATTGGAAGATCATATTATGGAGGGAGACTGACACAAGGATTATAAAGCAGATTTTGTTGTGAAATATACTGAAAAACAAAATTGGGAGAGTTTTGATGAGCTATGATGTTAATTAAGAGAGTGCACAAAGTTTGAACAAGTGAAAGCTATTTTAGATAATGACTCATACTAACTACATAAGGAATTTTTAGTGACCATTACTCAAGTACTGTACATATATTTACTTGCATGCAGAAGGGAGATCTTGAACATCCCATACTGTTTCGTAAACTGCGTTCCTTTCTGAACATCACACCAAGCAGATTCAACGATATCAACAAACAGAAGAGGTCAGTATTCTTCTGTTCCTCAGCATTTTCTCCGTGTGTTGTTTGCCTTTTTTTTTATTTTTTTAGCTTTTTCACTTATTTATCTTATTGAATCAGTTATTCATTAGATATAACATACTAAACAATAATCAGAAGGTGCTAAGCAAAATAGGGCTATATATGTAGAAACATAGGCTGAATAGATAAAGATATATCAGTAACTTGTACAATGTCTACTTTTTTTTTTATTCATAGTCCACTGTCAAGGCAGTTTGAAATTCCTTGTACAGTATATAGAAATGATATACAACTTGAAAAATGTATGAACTTTGTCTGCTTATCTTTAGATTTTCAATAATTTGTTTTTAGTAGAAACTCTTAAAAGTGACTGCAATAATGTTTATGGCATGGAACCTCAAACACAAACAGACATAGACTCATCCTGGAGATATGCATCAGCACATTAAACAGGTCACAAGAATATCAAGAGAGAGGGATGTTTCATCAATGCTGGATTTGATATTCACCAGGAAATAAGATATATACTACACTACTACTAGTTGTACCCAGCCACGCATTGCTATGGCTCAGTCTGGTTAAATGGAAAAGAAAGAAAAGAGAGAGCGCACATTTCTAATATTTTTAATTTCACAATGCTTGTGGGTATACAATATTTTTTGTATAGAATTTTTTGTATCAAGCTGTAACTACAGTTCGGGATATCCCGTCTCGCCTGTAACTACACTTAAGTAATTACATATAAACATACACAAATAGTAGATAAAATTGTTGGGCTAGTCTTACAACCATAGAAAATGTCTGCAACTACAGGAAAATTGGCAGGTACATAAAAGGGAAAGAGCGACCTTTGAGATTGACCCTTAACAGGGCCAAACAGATGGAAGAAGTACTAAGGAATGTTAGGAAAGTGATGAGGAAGGGAAATTATGGTCATTAAGGCGAGATCTTTCAAAAGAAGAAAGAGAATCTGAAACTGAACCTTGTAGCGGCAAAACGTCTAAATGAGAGCAGGAATGTAGAAGAAATCAATTCTTTTTTTCTACAAAGTGATAGGGGTAGGCAGGCCAGTAAAATGGTACAAAAAGGCAAACCAACAAAATTGCTAGAGAAAAAGGGGGTAGTGAAGAATAAGGAGAGAGGGAACATGTTCCTGAAATTTGTATACACCAACATAGATGGAGTGAGATCAAAGATACTGGAGTTAAGTGATGTAATACAGCTGCAGATGCCAGACATTGTTGCACTCACGAAGATGAAACTTGAAGATGATATTTTAAATGAGGTCATATTCCAAAAAGGCTACTCAGTTTAAGAGACGGGGACAGAAAAATTAGGAAAGGCATTGGCGTTGTTGTACTGGTGAAAGAACACCTACCTAAGGATAAACGAAATAATGATTGCCAATCCACGAGTAGTTGACATAATAGCACTAAAGATCGGCAATCAGGATGATAAACTAATGATCATAAATGCATATAGTCCACCGCAATGCAACACATGGACAAAGGAGGAGATGGATAATAAATGAGAGGGTCTTACAACAATAATGAGATTATAGTGAGAGCGGATAAAGATAGATCACGACTGTTGTTGTCGGCGACTTCAACTTGAAATCCATAAACTGGGAGGCATATGAAGCTAGAACAGAGGACTTTTGGACCTGTAGATTTGTAAACCTCTTCCTGGAAACATTCATGTAACACTATGTTAAACAAGCTAAGAGGATGAGAGAAGGGGATGTTCCCTCCATGCTGGATTTGATATTTACCAGGAAAGAGGAAGAGATATTTGACATTCAGTACCTTCCTTCCCTGAGTAAAAGTGAGCATGTCTTTTTGGGAATAAAGTATGCAATGCGTTACAATCTGGAAGAAAATAAGGAGGTTGAAGCTTTTGAAAAACTTGATTTCAGGAGATGATATTATAGGGAATAAAGAGTGCTGGGAAGACAGGAAACCACGAGCGTATCTCTCATTCTGTAACTACACCTAGGTAATTACACACACATAAGCAGTCCCCATGGTGCAGTGACCAGACATACACCCGGCGCTTTGTGAGCGATTTGGCTTAGAATTGTTTCCTGGCCGGGTGGATTAACTAGGTGCCAATTCTTAAATGTATGCCTCTGTTCATCCGGCAATGAATGGGTAGCCGGTTGATAAATGTTTTAGAGAGTTGTATTCCAGGAAAAATAAGATTAATGACCTGCCCTAAATGCTATGAGTGCTAGTGGCTTTACAGGAATGTAAGAACTCTTGTATATATAAATAATAAAAAAATTTGAAAGGCATGTTTCTTTTATGGCTTCATTGCCAAACTTTATCTGTAAGACAGTAGATATTATTAAAGTTTTTGTTTTGGCATTTTCTTGCTCTTTTGCCAAGAAATTAAAATGTTTTGCTTGTTTTCCCTGCATTTTCAGCTCTCATTTAATCAGATACAGTACAGTATATATTTTGTCTACAGTCTGTGTTTTGCATTTCGTCTTGAGCTATGCTGTAGTCAAAGGCATTCATAACAGTTCAATACATCTCTTTGTTTCAGAATAGATGAATGTGGTTATGATAAATCTTTACTAATTAAAGAAACAGATGAACTGGAATCCTGCCTCACTGGTCTTGGGTGCCCAGTGGTCTTTTCTCATAATGACATCCTCCTTGGAAACATTATCTGGAACGAGTCGACTCAGAAAGTGGGTTTTATAGACTATGAGTATGGAGGAGCTAATTATCAAGCATATGATATTGGCAATCACTTTAATGAGTTTGCTGGTATGTATAATGTTTTTTTGTAAAGTACCCATTAATTATATTTTTAAAATAGTTTAGAAGGTAGTCTGAAATATTTGTATTAAATTACCATGTCTCTCTAACTCCATTCATCCTTCCACATGTTTCATAATATGGTAATTCAAGTCCCTGTGTCATGAAGCATTGAACATTGGTCAGGGTGGCAAGGTTAAAACTCGAGCTTAGGGGATCTGGCTATTTTGCCGAATGGTATGGCTCGGATGGTAGAGGTGATGCTGTCATTAACGGGGGATGGTGCTGCAGCACTGGTGCTCAAGGCTGCAAGCAATTATAGGTAGCTATCATCTATCAATTATTATTTATTAAGAAAATAGACAGGTGGATAGACAGATGGACAGATCCATAAGTGCAATCTCAATTTGGCAAACTAAATGGGACCAACTCCTGATTCCTTGCACCCAGAGATTTGTTGTGACTGGAGACTACCATACCACCACCTCCCTGGCCACCTCGAAAACATCAAACCAATAGCTGGCCTTTCCCTTGTTCCCCACCACATCCTCCCTCTCTCCTACGCTTCCACCATTAGGACTCGTTTCCAAACCTACTTTAGCCAACCCCATCATCAATAATCTTAGTTCTCTTTCGAAACTTTTGGTACTGTGATAATAGTGCTATTAGTCTTATTTTTGTTGTGATTAAATTGTTGCCCACCTTAAATTAAAGGCCACCTTAAACTGAAGGATCTCACCTTAGTGAAGTTGGGATACTTTAGCAATTTACAGTTTCAGGGATGTTACTAGTATATAAACTTTTGTGACGAGTAAAAGTCCCAGTAATATGGCTGTAATGAATAAACAATTAATCCAAATATTGGAAATGAAAAAAGGTCAAATGTTTCTGTCTTTGACCATTATCAACTGTTGCTTGATATTGGCCATGATGACATTTAGAGTTTACCTAGACATTTACACAAAATATTTTGGATCTGTAATAATATTTTAATCATTCATTATAACAAAATACCTACATTTGGTGTATTTATATAAATATTAAGTAGTAATTAACAAAGTAAAATATTAGGTATGTAACCAGAGTTCTGAGAGGGCTCTGAAAATGTCATTTCTTCATTTTCTGATGTGTAGTTTAAGTCATCATTCACAGACGGTGTTTTACCTGGTTTGGTGGAGGTGGGCTTATATTTGTCTCTGGTAAGAGACAAATATAAGCCCACCCTATTTGCCTCTTGACTGGCAAAAGTCTTGCAGTAGCTCCCTGTCTCTGCCTTGTTCCCTTCTTCCCCATTGGGTTGTGAAGTTTTGCGCAAAAGGCTCCAGAGGAAGGGAGCAGGCTGGCTTATACCCAGAGGGCCAGATTCACGAAGCAGTTATGCAAGTACTTACGAACGTGTACATCATTCATCAATCTTTGACGGCTTTGGTTACATTTATTAAACAGTTTACAAGCATGAAAACTTCCCGATCAACTGTTGTTGTTGTTATAAACAGTCTCCAGGTGCTTTGGAGCTCATTAACTGTTGAATAATTGTAAACAAAGCCGCCGAAGATTGAGTAAATATGTACAGGTTCATAATTGCTTGAGTAACTGCTTCGTGAATCTGGCCCCAGGTGACTTGGGTTGCCATCTGGTGGTGGTCATGTGCATAAGGTTTGCATTGGAGTAACTATTGTTTGTCTTGTTTACCATTTATTTTGAGCAGTCGCTTGTTTTGTTGTGCCTATGCTATCAGGTGGGGTTTTCTCTATTTTGGGGTTGTCTTCATGCTTCTCTTTGACTCATAATAAGCCAGATTCTGATCCTGGCTTATGGGCTTCTCTACCATATGTGTTTAGCTAAGGTTTAATTGTACTGAAGTTAAGCTCTGAGCTATTGAGAATACACTGGAAAATTGCATTTCACTACACATGAATGATTTTATTTTTCTTGAAGGTGTTGATGAAGTGGACTACAGTCGGTATCCATGTCCAGACTTTCAGCGCCAGTGGTTACGAAGTTATCTGTCACACTACCAGGAAATACCCCAAGAACAAGTACTAGATATTGATGTGGAGGTTTGGTATGTTTGGGTCAACAAGTTTGCTCTGGCCTCACATGTGTTTTGGGGCACATGGGCGATGATACAAGCATACTATTCATCTATAGATTTTGATTTTATTGGGTAAGTACTGATTGTTAAATCCAGATAGGTGGGGTAATGAATTTAAAGATTTAAATGATTCAGGAATGTTATAATTGAATAAATTAAATGTTCATACAGTACTTTGAGAGGATTAAAGGTTACAGTGCTAATTTTCACAAATATTACCCAATGAATATAAAACTGAGGCAGAGAGATGCAATAGGTAACTGACAGGATTTCAACAGAGAGCTGTTGATTACCAGGACATTTTGGGTGCAGTGTTGTGTGCTTCTTCTATTTGGTATAAATACTTCTCTATGGTACATATCTTGATATGATTTGATTTTTTACTTACCCGAATGAATTTCATAGTCTCCGTTGAAGTGCTTGTAGAATGGTTAGAGTTGGCAGTGGTATTATTGATTAGTAGGACATTAAAGATGGGTAAGTGCCAGATTGACTTGGTGAACCTGGGACACAGGGTACCTCGATGCAAGGGTTCTTGGCAACCCTTGCCAAACTATTTCAAGTATTTCTTGTTGCATGCCTCCTCTTTTTTATGTTCAAGAGGTGCACACATTTAAAAGTAGCTCTCAATTTGTGCTAGTTTCATTCTTAAGACACCATGAAAATCATACTTAGAGGTGTATTGGAAAAAGTGTGTTCGTATGCGTTGTGTGTGTGTCATTACCCAAGTGTCGTTACAGGATGAGAGCAACACTCGTGGTGTCCGATCTTCCCAGCACTCGTATGACAATTTGAAACTACTGGTGGTTTTGGCATGCACCACCATCTCACTAATTTGTTTCAAATATCTATTTGCAAAAAAGAACTTTCTAATACTTTTTGGGCACCTTTATTTCCTTAGGTTGAATCTGTGACCTCTTGTTCTTGGAAGTTGCAGGTTTCAAGAATTCCTGTAATTTGTGTAGATTCCTGTTGGTATTTTATATAAGCTGATCATATTACCTCTTTTTCTTTCATCTACTAGCTTTGTCATATGTAATCCCTCTAGCCTCTCCTCGTAGCTCTTGTTTTCAGTTCTGAAAGAATTTCATAGCATGCCTTTGCACCATTTCAAATTTACTGATGTGGTTTGAGACATGGGCACCATATTACTGCTACATATTCCAATTTTGGTCATTATAAAAGTCGTGAACAATTTCTGTAATATTTCACCATCCATGTACTTGGATAGGGTTCTGAGAATTCTACTCGCCTAGCCTGGCTCGTGGCCAGGCTTGACTTGAGAGCTTGCTCCAACAAGCTGTTGCTTGGAGTGGCCTGCATACCCACATATCCAATACAGCACGGTTGGTCTGGCACTTCTTGCAGAAAACTTTCCATGTTTTTCTTGGACTTCCAATTTTGTTCCAGCAGTATTTCTTATACTTGCTTGGAGGATATTAAACATATTGAAGCATCAGCTAAAAAATGATAGGATGTATTTGAAAGTGATTCTGATGTTGGAAAGCATGGCATATACTCCTTGCAAATTTCCCTTGTGTGTTCTCTGGTGACAGTTTACTATCTAGAACCACCCCTAGATCTCTTTCTATGTAGAGTTCTTTATCTTTAGAGTAGTTCTTTATCAGAATAGGTTGTATGTTCTCCTATTTTATCCTATTCTACATTCCATAACATGGCAGATGAAATTCAATTTTAATAATAAGTCTCTTATCTTCCCTAGTAGCTTAGTGTGTGTGTATGTCAGTAATTTTGACTTTTATTTCAAGCATGCACTCTGTTTAATTTATATGGTTGGAAATGTAATTTCTTTTTGTTTGCAGATATGGTATTACTAGGCTAAATGAATATTTCAAAAGGAAGAATCAGTTTCTGAATCTTTGACCAAATCTTCAGCAGTTCCAGCCAACATTTGGTGTCAGTACCACAGAGATTCCATTTTGCAAGATGCACATGGTGGAAGAAAAACATCAACAGTTGTTAGTATAAAACTAATGATAAAGATAAGTGACAGTGATAAGTCAGAATGTCCAAATTTCTTGGTGCTATTATAGTGTGCATAAAGTCCTGGGTTCAATTTTCCCAGCTGGACAGATACTTTTTGGTGTTTCCTTTCACCTGATTCCATCGTTCACCTAGCAGTAAATAGGTACTAAGGAATTAGGCAGCTGTTGTGGTTTGCATCTTTGGGGATGATTAGTAACTTAGGGTGGGGGGGGGGGAACCATGTTCTAACAGCTTTTCTGTCCCAGCAATGAGGAATTAAAACAAAAAATACGCATACATGTCAGATGTTTATTCATTTAAGGGGGCGTCGGTTCCAAATATGCAATAAATGAAAACTGGTTCGATTTCAATCAAACCTTTTTGACAAGTTGTAATTGAAAAGTTTCATCTGGTCCAAGTCTCAGCATCATAGCATAAATAGGAAGGGAGAAAAAATATTGAATTGTCAAAAATTTTCCAAAATGGTCAAAAACGATTATCAAATAAGTGTCAACTGAAATCATGTCTATGACTCTCAGCTATCACAATAGCATATATTAAAAACAAATTATAATTAGTTTTATTACAAAAAATTTTACTTTTTTTTTTTTTTTAAATTTCTCTTTCTTGTTTATCGGGCGATTTGCATGAAACTTATACACCTGACTGCACGTAAGCCTATCTGTAAGGGTGCCAATTTCAACCTCAATTCACAGATGGCAACACCTAAGTTCATTTATTGATTTTATAGATAGCAATAAACATGATATATTTGCATAATTTTTCGGGGGAACTTTGACTATTTGTATTAGGAAAACTAAAGACGTTTTGGAAAACCCTTCCTACAGATCCTTTATTATATGCTAATGTGTCAGAAAAGTGTCATAGAATGATTATATCTGAAAGGTGTGGTTGTAAATCTACTTTTGAAAATGTGTAAAATTCGTTGAAAAAAAAAAAAAAATCTCCCTTACTGTTTAGGCTACAGTACTGAAACTTGGAACAATTGCAGCGCTTTTCATATACAACTACAGTACTCAAAAAATATTGGTTGACATTGAACAACTTTTAAAAAACTGACTGATGGCTCCGTAAGGACAGGGAGAATATTAATTGCAGTTCAATATTTACTGACAGTAAAACTTTGAAATACTAGTGCTTCCAAATGTGTGAGAACAACCAGTATTGTAGTACCATATATTGTATGGTACTGCATTAATTGTGAAATGTTAGGTCAGGAACCTATGCAGTGGATTTTATGATGTACAGTACTCTAATTTGGTGTACATTTTCTTTTTTCAGCTTGTGTAGCAAGTAACACAGATTTGGGTTACTGTACTTTAAAACATATATACAGTACAGGTTTTGTGGTAAGGAATTTAGCATCTCACTATTAAGTGGGGAGATAATGAGGTCTATGATAGTGTCTCAATCCTGTAGTTCCTAGTTCTATCAATCTTTCTAGCTTTTAAGCAGGTTGTGAATTTTAAATGTCCATTCTTCACTTTAGTCAATTTGTTGCACCATCTGATAGTGATAAGTTCCTAAGTAAAATATGATGATGTACTATACTGTATATTGTAAATTTATCTATTAAATTATTCTCCAATTTAAAAAATCTGAAACATGTTTAAGGTCTGTGCAATATTTATACTGCAGCATGTAGCAATCATTCACTACTTTCACATAAACATAACAAAATGTTACATATTTTTGTCTTTATTAACCCTTTCTGGCACATCTTAACCTCAGTTAGTCCTCGGGAGCCAAAGGGACCCCCCCCCCCCACAGAAAATTATTAGAAAGTTTTTTTTATAAACAGAATCGTAGACGGTTGGAACAAGCTAAGTGAGAAGGTGGTGGAGGCCAAAACAATCAGTACAGTAGTTTCAAAGCATTATATAACAGAGTACCGGGAAGACTGGACACCACGAGCATAGCTCTCATCCTGTAACTACACTTGCTGTTCCTCCCTCTTTAGTTGATATAAAGACAAAGTTTTTCTGGGCCCACCATATTATTGTTGCTTCTAAAGACCCAATGAACACTTGCTAAAGAAGCTATTTGTTCTTGTACCATCTCTCAAAAGCAGATTTCTTGTATTTCTACACTTCTACACTATCATAATAGGATCTGTATCCCATGGGAAGAGATGGTTACCTATTACAAATAGCAAATTACAAATATTAAATGTAACTTTGCCTGCATGGCCTCTTCCTACCACAGTAACAGGTGAGAAACATCTCTTTGACTAGGTTATATTTGGCTACATGCAATGAACTCGTAGGCACTTTACGTAACAAAGACCTCCACTTCAATGTCAGAACTGCATTCATGCCAAGTTGCACACACCTTGTGAAATGCTGTGATTTTCAGGATGATCAGAAATCTTGCTTTCGTAATGTCCCTTTGGATCATTTGTCTTCAGATCAAGACAAAAGTAAATACTGTATCATCTTCTACATTGTTTTTAACACAAACATTTGATTGTAGAAATGCAATCCATACTATTGAATGAAACACACAATTAGTTTTTTGTTTTTTTGCCTTTATTAGCCATAAGATAAAAACCACATTGGTAGACATTCACAACTGCACAACTTGTTCACAGACATGAGGCGTTAGTGTTTATTTTATTGGTACTAGCATCAAACTATCATCTTGCCTACACTGTACTGATACATTTGATACCTGATCACAATGATAAAATGGAAAGGGGAATACCTATTAGCAGGAAACAGCAGCAGGTAAAGTATGTCAGTTGACAAATTCCATGACATGGAAATATCCATTAACTATTCATGTCTTTGGTCTCTAAGGGGTAAGAGAAAAATTATAACAATAATGCTATAGGAACATACATGTAACAAACCTTCAAAAATGTCAGTGAGGAAATATAATCAGGGACACCTGAAGTGTGATTAATAAAGCAATTACACTTACAAGCCTGAAAATACAGAAATCTACATACCAAAAGCATAAAATTTGTGTGAGCAAAAATGGCCATATGAAGTAGGAGCAGAATTGTTTAAAAGATAATAAAATTCATATTTTGCATTTTTAGGAACTTTTTTTTTTTATTTTTTTTTTATACTGTAGTACCATTAAAGTTCTTGATTAAGCATTACAAATCTAAATAGAAATCATAGAAAAAAAAATCAATAATGATCCTACCAGGTTTGCACTTCAAAACTATTTGGGCAAAAAGGGTAAAGTTGTAAGCTTGGAATGCCATGTGAGTTAAGCATGGAATGCCTTGGAATGTCTACTGCCTACAAGGGAATGGGAGCCTACGAGATCATTAGTAAACTTGCAACAAACATGCACATGAATTGCAGGTAGAAGAGGGAAGAAAAGGTGGTCCTGGACTTCAATTTTTGTCACCATTTACAAGAAATTCATCAATAAAAAGGACACTGGTTATCCTGGAAGCCTTTATCATTTGGCTAGAAGCAAAAGCATCAATAGGTGAAAATGGCCAAGTTCGCCCACTCAAATATAAATTGCAAAGTCACTCGTCACATCACAGTAAAAATCGCTGGAAAATATCACAAACCAACAGGTAAAAAAATGCAAGCGCAATACTTCGTCCAACCAAGAAAGTTTTGATTACCTGGCTGACACTCGATTACTACAACCAATCTAAGCGTAAATGCTGTGTGACACTACGCAAGGATTTCGAGACTATGATCATTTCAATAACAGTACATCCACAGTACAGCATTAAGGGTCACTTCAATTACTCCTTTAGAGTGTACTAATGAAGACTTATATTTGCTGATAATGTCTCATGATGTTTGTAGTGTAAACAAATCACAAGCATATAGAGAAAAAGGGAGCACACAGGGTAGTTGTGATTCAAAAAATAATTAACAGTTCTCCAACAGGGAGTTTGAGAAACTTGTCATTAATTAATACGTTGGAATACAGATCAACAGGTTATGCTTCAATTGTAGGCTATTAAATGAGTGCATATACCTAATTACATATTTCAAGAGTAGGTAGACTACATAAAGGTAAATGCTGCAAGTTGGTAGCTCATACTGCAAGGTAAATATGATTTTATTATTTGTCCAACATAAATGAAGTAAGCAATTTAGATTTGCAACACTTTTCCCTGCATGCTCCAATGACAGAAGATGACCAAGGCCCTTGGGTATTGAGAACATTATCATAAGAGTGAAGCAATGGAGAAATCTACAATACCCCCCATTCAGTTATTTGCTCACACACGTGTGTGTTCATATATATATATATTTATATATATTTATATAATATGCATATTCATGAAAATTAATTGAATTTAGGTGAAATACAAAATGCACATTTGTACTACAAGGCAGGTTAGTGCGGACGGGGCCCGTATGTCACCATACCCAATATACAATTTGAAACACTGCCTCTGTAAATGATAACCCATCTGCTGAAAAAGTCTATGGGAAATTCTTAATAAATGTTTCCTGAGAAGAACCGCTAAAACCAAAGGCTCATCTTTAAAAAAATATATATGAACATGGTAATTATTGTATACTGAAAACAATCTCCATACACAGGGTTAATACCATTAATGCTAACCAGAATTCTTTGTCACCACATAAAAGCTGAACACTTCAAGAGGTCATTAACATTTAGTAATAGGTTCTGCAAATACAGAAATCTAAATAAATTTTTACTGCTGCTTTGGGTGCTATAAAGAATTCTGCCCCTGTTACTTGGAGGAGCCATTTGAAGGCAGGTAACATAGGGCCCACGGTCTTGAGTGTGTGGCGGCATTTGTGCCATCGAGTCCTAATTATGGAAAAACCATTGTAAGAAAAGTATATAGTATATATACAGTATATAATGATCCTCATCTAATACAGATCCCAGGCACCGGATCTCTGAGAAATAAGGACGAAATGTGATCTATGCAACCAAGAAGCATGCATTACATCTGCACTACCTGGGGTGCTGCCAAACTACCATTATCAATACCATCAGCATATCGGAATTGAATCTGATCTAAACACTTTCAATATTCAATCAATAAAGTAAATAATTAAAGATTTTTTGTAATTATCTGCCTGCCAAAATAAGCAAAAACATATTTTTTTTGTTAAAAGTATATTTAACTTGGATCACACACACACACTAAAGGATAAGGGAGTGAAAATTGCTATCTCAACCATTATACTCGGCGAGATATTTTGTCTGACAAATTTATTGTATTGAAAAATAAATTAAATCTAGAAAAAATAGATCAATAACAATTCAGCAAATTAATGTACAAAATGCAAGTGGTGTTAGCAGAAGACGGGTGTCATGTGGGAGGATAAGCGCCTGCTCTACCATCCATACACTACTGAAAGTGGTACATTATCCTTTCTCTCTCTCTCTCTCTCTCTCCCCCGTTTTTTTCTCATGTTTTTTATCTAATACTAGGATTAGAAGTTTTATGCTAAAATTTTACTTTTTTTATGTGAGCATAATCAAATATGGGTAAATAAAAGTATAAAAAAATAACGTACAGCTACTAGTGTTTACAATGGAGACTAAGTGAGGGGTTACAGGCTGCCTGATGAAAGCGAAAATATTGTGGATGCATGTACATAAGCCATCATCTCGTATATTGTACTATGATGGAGCTCGACAGCTTAAATGATCATGTTTCATTGCCTAATCATTATTATTTAATAAACCTCCATGAACGTTTTTGAGTAAAGCCCATAAATGTATAATGGCAAAACAAGATGCCCAATCTGATTTTCATATGTACAATCATATTTATATATATATATATATATATATATATATATATATATATGCCTAATAGCCAGAGTTGCCTAACTAGACAAATTTTCAAAACAATTTTCTCATAGAAAAAGTTTTTGTTTTGAAAAAGTAATGCAATATTTTTTTAAGTCATTACTAATAGGTGACAAACCAAGCCTAACTCATCCTAATCAACAAATGATGAATGCTCATTAATCCACCTGCCAAATTCCGTTTAAGAATGAAAAACACTTTAGACATGACTCACAATGGTGTATGAACTTTCCTCAAAAAGTGCTTCATTAATGTCTTTTGCTCAAACCGCACCTCTGTAAGTGTCCAAGAATGGACAGTGTAAATGTCATGTTAGAATGTAATTCTAACATATAATAATATTAACCTATATTTGAGAGAATACAAATTTTAAATTTGCATCATGTTAAAATTGACGAATACATTATTGGGGTCAACCACTGGTTGGATGAGCCTAGCCTCAGGACAAGTTGAACCCAACCTGTTTAACCTAAAATAACTTAAGTCAGTAATTCAAGTCGCTTATAAATTGATATTGTCAGGAATGAACCAATTTGGAAAATGTTTTAAAATAATAAAAAATGTGGCCTGTTAGGCAAACTAGACCTTCTTAGCTAGGTTAACTAATGCAGTTTTGTCTATTAGGTACAACTATATATATAAAATGTTGTATCTAATAGGGACAAACCACACAACTTAGCCTAGTAAGCAAAGTCCAATTTGCCTAACAGACAGGTCAAATTGTTATTATTTGTAATTAGTAGCCCAAATTTGTTATTTTCATATGCACTGTACAAGTATATCCTTCCAACTTTTTTCTTTAAATTCTTTTAATTTTCTATTAATTTTCTTTTTTCGGTTAATTTTTCTCAATAACAATATATTTTATTAGTAACATGAATTAGTGCCAATTATGTTAGGTTAGGAAGTGTAATAAGAAAAGCGTGAGTAAATGTGAAAGCCTTGAGGGAGTACAAGTCACTTGGCACCTGACTGATTACACCCAGATCAGCATTCTGATGTACTCCCAGACAAGCAGCCTTCTGTTCTGGGTCACTTCATCAGAGCTAAAATTAGACACTGTCTTCCAACCACCTTCCAATGACAACCAGCTCAGTTAAAGAGGTGAGTGTTATATGTATTTTCATGACACATTTAAGTGTGAATGTATAGTCTTTCATACAGGCCTAGAATGGAAGGATTTGGTGTGCATTGTTAAGCTTCCTTTCTGAGGGAAGCCCCTTGTAGCTCTCTGAAGCTACTATCACCCACAGTGTAACATCTACTGGGTCACATCAGCTGCAGTCTTATCTGGCCTACCAGAGACCAAAGAGCCTGAACCCAGCCCCCCCCCCCCCCCCCCTCAGAGGTGAAGGGAACAGTGACATTTATATATTTATTTATGCCACCACCAGGGAAGTCACCCAGAAAGTTAGCGAGACAACACAAAACACACCTGGCTAAAGAAGAGACCACAGCCTCAAACTGCCAGAAGAACTCCTCAACAATGTAAACAAACGATCAAAAAGTTTCAAAACAAGTGCCAGCTCATTTGCCCCACCTTCCCTGCTCATTTGGGGAGAAGGAGAAAGTAGCTCACAGTAAGCCAGTGACACAGCCCTCAGTTCTATGGTAGATGTGAGAAAACCCTGCTGGCGATCTAGAGGGAGAGGTCCTACAGATTACAAATTTGGTTTGTTAGACAACTCTGACTATTAGGTACGAATGTACAGTATGGTCTACTCAAATTGTACTATATGTACAGTACTAGTCTACTCAAATGTATGCGCCACCCTGCTTGAGGCGGCCACAATTCGTGACAAAAAAAAAAAAAAAAGATAATCTTATGGATGAAAGATTTTAGAGGGAAGTATGCAACAGCTGCATGATGTCACAGCAGGCATTAGTTCCCTGCTGACTACAACACCCGAGCCAGTGGCCTCCAGGCTGTCATCGTGAGTGTCTTGCATTTTGATCCGTGACCATCCATTATTGTTTGCACTTATTAGCAGTTTGTGTGGTATGGCATTGTTATTATGTCACCAAGGAATTAAGAAACTATTTCTCAGATCATTGCTTCAAAGGATGAAGACCACCAAAGTAATAAAATATTTTAATTGGTGGTTATAGTCAAGTTGATAGGAGATATAGTATTGTGCACATTTTCGAGAGGGAAACACCGATGTCATGCCATCACAGAAACATCAGTCTGATTGTCCCAGTTAGACTTCAAGGTCTACCTTTGCATTAACAAGAAGGCTACTCTCCAATAAATGTTTTAGAACATTCACAGACCTTGAAGACATCTCCCTGGGATAACCAGACCAATGTTTCTTTGATGGTGTCATCACTGTTTCCCCTCAGAAACGTGCACAATACTTCCTCATGTCAACTTGGCAATACCCAATAAGTAATTTATTTCCTTAATTTGGTGACCTGCTTGATGATAAAGCAATGATCTAAGCAATGGTTTCTTTGCTTAGTTCCTTGGTAGGTGACATAATAATATACAACCAACACTACTGCTCACTATGAATGCCCTGAGCACTCATAGTGAGCTATTGCACACCATGATGTCATGTACCTGGCACATACATTTGTCTACAATCTTTCACCCATAATACTACCATTCTTTTTTTTTAGCCATATATATGAACTGGCTCAATTAGGGTGGCACATACTTTTGACTACTACTGTATGTATGCATATATATTTAGTTAAATATCACTGCATTGTTGATATTATAGTGTAAGGTTTCTATGCTTTTAACTCTATTCTTAGTATCTGTATTAAGAAGAGCAATCAAATTATCAAAGTTCATGGTAAAGAAACTAGTAATGATTGAAGGATTTGTTTTCTACAACATTTCATTTCACTCTCGAGCAACTTCAGGCAAAGAATGAATACATAAGGTGCAATTATGAATTAAATATACATGTGGAAGGGGTGAAGTTATATTGGTTGAGGTGAAGAGTTCAAGGAATATGGTGGCAATCAAACAGAGGGTAAGGAGTAAGAATAAGGGAAAAGGGCCAATCAAACATTGGGCAAGGCCTTGTGTAAAACTCTGGTACTCTCAGTGGGCAGGGAGACCTCGATAGAGATGTCTTTATCTGGTGATAATGACATCTCTACCGAGGTCTCCCTGCCCACCTAGAGTACCAGATCAATGTTTTTAGAGTTTTCCAAAACACCTTACCCAATGTTTGATTGGCTCACTACCTTATTCCCCTACTCCTTACACTCTGATTGATCCAATATTCCTTCGACCCTTCACCTTACCCATTTCCACATGTGTATCTTCTTTCTTCCTTGAGATTATCACTGAATGTTTTCTCTTAGGCTTCCTAGTAGTAGAAGCCATCTCTTAAACAAATTTTGCTTATATTTCCAAGTAAATTACGGGAATGAACACTCCAGTACTGCACCACAAACTAAAACAAATGATGTGATGCCTTGTCAACTTCTCACTCTTGGCACTTAATCATTAGTTTTATTCGAACAATCTAAGAAACCGGCATATCCTAGTAAGTGGGGGTTCTGGAAATCATATGGCTGTCTGTGTGTATGAATATGTATGTACGTGGATATATGCATGTATGTATGCATGCTGCATGCATGCAAGAATATTTAGAGAAATAGTTATGCATATGTATCCACTCAGGAGAAATCAAATTAAAATATTCTGCACTCTTTTGTGATCTAACACATTTTCAAGGTGTAAACAACAAAAACATAATACAAGAGTGTGGCTTATGTGTGTATATAATACTCCATGCAATGAATTCTGTTGGGACAAACTGGTAAACACCTAGACCAAAAAATAAAAACACACATATGGCATAAAGATAGGTCAAAAGAAAAATTACATAGTTTCTCAACTCAAGCGTGTGTAATCATTCAACTGACCGGACTAATTCATGCAAAATTACTAAACATTTAATGTTTTTTGTGATGCCTACAGTCGTCAATTGCTCAAAATGCCAGACGGTTCAGATGATGGCTGTAGTTGTCATGCTAACTTTAACTACCCTTTTTTGTTATTTTATTTTGCTTTTATTGCATTTTTGAATTGCAAATACCATCATAAAGTACAACTCTCTAGCTTAAAAAGATACCAAATTGAACACTTTATCATGCACAGTAACTTTGCAGTATGTGTTGGAAGTAAACTATCGCTAAGCAATTTGTGCTTGGCCCAAGCTACCGGTCCAAACTTGGTATGGGGGGCAAAAAACGTGAAAGGGTTAAGTGTAAACCTGTTAGCGAAAGAAATATTATTGAACCTTCATTTATAAAAGTAGTGAATTAGGTAATATTAAGTTTTATAATTGTAAGATTCATGAAGGGGTAAAATTATGTAAAGAATGAATATAGTTGCAGGTGGCTTACTCCCAGACGTATGGGAAAACTTCAGTTGGCCCATTTCCATCATGTCACTTCCATTATTTGATGGTATGTTTATGTTTCTTAATGTACTCAGGTGTGGGGGTTATATAAGCCTACACCCATGTGTTATCTGTCTACTGTACTCCTTGAAAATGTGTAATACCATCAAAGTGCTCAGAATATTTGTCTTATATTTTCTTAAGTGAATACTTATGTATGTGTATATGTATGTATGTATGTATGTGTATGTATATATATGTGTGTGTAGATTAATAAATGCTGATCTATTAAATGTGAAATAACCACATATGAAATAAGAAATAATAGCTGAAGTGCTTTCTACCCTTGTCAGGTCATTCTCAACAGCCTTTAATCCACATCTCTGGTCAGTGCTCTGAGTGTTTACCTAGGCCACGGTGGCTTGTGTCCGATTGTGCTCACTCTCCACCTACTGCTTCCATTCTCATGCACTCCTCTGGTGTGTGTGTGTGTGTGTCATTCAAACTATTACGAAAGACCTCACAAAGGTCGAAAATGCTCCAGCTGTCGTTTATTTCATATGTAGTTATTCCACATACGTACACACACAAACATACATATAATAGTATATTTAGGTAGCAGTCTATCATGTAGACATCATATTGAATATGACAAAGGATCATATATGATTTATGCTAGATCAATGATTCTAGCATAAATCTTCTCTATATTTCATATGTTCTTCACCTGTAGACATTGAAAAATTAACTCCAAAGTTAATTTTAGTTTCCTTATGGCCTGGTGCTAGATGTGTTTCATAGGACCCTTTCAACATTTTCAAAGGCAGAGTAGAAATATGTGAATATAATTTGGCTGAAGCAGTAGAATATAAACCAAAAGTGGGGTGACATGGACCAATAGGCTCACTGCAGCTTACTCAAAACTTGTTCTTGTATTTCAGTGATGGCTGAGGCAGTATGTTGGACGTTTCTTCTTGGTTTAGAAGATTGCAGAGTGTAATGAAGTGTTTGATGTTGTTACTGGTTGGGTGAATTTGCGTGATGTGCCTTGCTGATGTCAAATCTTCTATTGTCATTATAACTCGATTATTTTAGATTTGTTTGTCAGGATATCTCTGGTGATGATCTAGTTGTGTACAGAGACCGTATGTTCCTTGATGGGACCTTGCTGTTTATGCTTGTTCAGGCACCTTGGGAAAAAATAATTGTTGTCTTGCCTATATACTGAGATCAGAGGGGCCGACAGTCCTCAAGTGGGCATGTGAATGCATAGACAACATTTCTCTCTTTCAAGGTATTTTGTTATGGTATGAAGAGAATTCTTAATGAGCAAGTTGGTCTCCCTGGCTCTTGTAGTATATTATTAACTATCTTATGGTTGGTGTCATTAGTGGTCACATTTCTGTCAATAATGTATTTCAGGACTCTTTCCTCAATTATGTGAACCATGGAAAAAGTTCCTGTAGAATATTTGAGGAGGGACTGGTTATGTATTGTTGGCAGTTTCATCAGTTAGAATGATGGCTCGCCTTTCTTTTAAATATTACTTCAACATATCTATTTAGAGTATCCATAATTGACTAGCACCTGCCTTACTCAAACGAAATTCCTTGTCACATTTCTTCCAACTGGAGCCTTGAGAGAGAGCACGGTGGACATGGGCATCGAAAATACTCCACTTGTATCTACCAGGGCAGTCACAACTAGCATTAAGGCATACTGTATTCTTATATTGGGCTCCTTAGTGTTTCCAGTCTAAAACTGGATGTCTACTGTAAGTACATATTCCTACTGGTGCCCGATATTGAGCACTTGCTGATATTGAGCACTTGCTACAGTATAAGGATGCATTTGAGCGAAGCTCAGTGCTAAGGTTCAATTACGAGATGGAGAGTGAAGGTAAGCTGCCTTTTCTAGACGTAACAGCCTCAGAAAGGCATGATGGCCATCACAGTGCAGTCCATACTAAGGAAACAAGCATAGTAATGTGCCTTAATGGTAGTAGCGAGTGCCCTGAAAGATACAAGGAGTGTGTTATCAAAGCCTATGTGACCCATGCTCTCTCACACAGCTCTAGTTAGAAGCAGGTTGAGGGGTCCTAGTCAATAATGGAAACACGTATGAATGTGTCAGAAATAATTAAAAGGAAGGTGAACCGCCATTCTACCTCTGACAAAATGGACAACAATACATCACCAGTTTCACACATTAAAATATTCTACCAGAACTTCTCTTAAACGGTTCACAAAATGGAGGAAAAAGTCCTGAAAGACATTATTGATGGAAATGTGACCCCTCCCAATATCAACCATTAGACTGAGTTAATAATGTACTATAAGGAGGCCTGGTTGACGACCGGGCCGCGGGGACGCTAAGCCCCGGAAACTCCTCAAGGTAACCTCAAGGTAAGAGCAAGAAGACCACTAACTTGCTCACGAAGAACTCTCCTGACCAAACGAAATGCCTTTAAAGAGATGAATGTTGTCAATCTTCACATGCCCACTTACGGACTGTGAACCTCAACGATCTCAGTATATAGGCAAGATAACATCCCTTTCAAGGCGCCTGAACATGCACAAACAGCAAGACCCCATCAAAGAACATATGGTCTCTACACACAACCAGATCATCACCAGAGATCTAACAAGCAAATCTAAAATTATCTACAGATACAACGACAATAGAAGATTGGACATCGGCGAGGCACTACATATCAAGCAAATTCAGCCAAGCATCAACAGCCAGCTGACACACTGTTACACTCTACCATCTTCAAGACCAAAACAGTGTCCAATATACTGTTCCAACCATTACAGAAACATAGATGGGTAAGCTGCAGTGGGCCTATTGGCTCATACGACACTTCACCTTACTTTTAGTTATATATTCAGCTACTACGACCAAATTGTATTCATTTGTACTCTGCTTTTTAAAATGTCGATGGTCAATGAAACGCATCTCTAAGCAATAAGGCATAATAAAACTATAAAATGAACTTTTGGAGAATTAATTTTTCCACTTCCTTCTCAAGGGAAGATAAACATAAGAAAGGTGCACTTTAGTATACAGTCTACTGCAGTATCCATAGTCTATGCTGTGTAATGACCTGACCTGTCTACCGAGACCTCAGCCGGTGCAAGTTAGGTTCGGTAGACTGCACACATAAGTGTAAGTAGCTAGGTAGGTGTTGTGGCTTTGGTTAGGTTGAGGTAGACAGCATGCTAAAGTGTAAATGGCCAGGTAGACCACACATTAATGTGACACCATAAGAAATATAGAGATACTTCCTGTTAGACTCATTAATCTAACCCTTTCTGCATGTTCAATAGCATAGCCATTTATTTATTTTATGAAAGTTTTTAGACTTGAGTAAAGGTTTTGATTTATTTTTAAATATTGAAGTAGTCATAGTAATAATGGACATGTTCAAATATATATATATATTAAATGGTGTTAAATTGGCATCACCTCTTATAAGTAGAAAGAAAGTGCTGCATTTGCTAAGTGGAGAGAAAAAATGCTAAAAAAGATTTCAAGAAGTGAAAAAGTTTTCAACCACATTTGAACACTTAATCAAACATTAGTTAGGGAGACAGCAGTTGGCCGCCACATCACACTGACCACACCACAACTTTTAGGAATTGACCCAAGATAGCACACAAGCAGAGCAGGGATCACGAAGGAGCCACTACAGGTATGGTATAGGACAAGCAATATTTGTTTCTTGCAGCTCAAAAGATTTATGCACACCTACATTTTAAAGTTATGTCCTTTCATTGATCAAAATATAGCTTTGCATAAATGCAGTTTGCTTCACACTACATGTCACCACTACTTGCCTGTAGCTTCATTCGTGATCCTACTTCCACACCTCTGTTAGCAGCAATATCTTCAATTAAATGTAGTGCCCAAATTTTGTTATTATTCACATTTTACCATTATTATTTTTTTTACAAGGCAGTGTCTGTTGCAGCATAATCAACTGGCAATTGCAGTACTGCTGCTGACAGAAAAAAAGGTGTTCACTCACACAAGGTTTATTTTCCATAACAGTGTGTGGTGGTATGCTGACCTTAACTACTTAGTATTTTTTGCTGTCCTTGGTTACATGAGCAGTGTCCAAGGATTATAAAAAATTTCATCATATAACCACACACTGTTATTGGAAACATGACCATGGTTTGCATGGGATTACTAAACTTGTTGTAAAACTTTTAACCTGGTCGTTAGTTCTGACACTATCGAGAACTGTCCAACTTATGAATATTGTGCTTAGCATGTTTAAGGCTGAGGTAGTATATATAGTAGAATACCGTGAGCTTTGAACATCAAGCCATAATACTTTATACACACACTGGCATCCCCACATGTGCCTAATAGGGGAACTCAACATTGATCTTGTGCTTCATTTGCATGAAAATAACAATGCAAATGATGAACTCATAATGCTGTGGAATGCTAAAATGAGTCTTATGACTACTTCCTTAGATAAACTGAAATTTATAATTAGTAAAACACCTTTTAGAATAAAAGTTTTACACCAAGATATGAATAATAACTTCACCTATTAGGCAAGGTAGGGAGCACCACACATTATTAGAATTAAAAGTAAAAATCTAGAAACCCTCCAGTGGTGATAAAAAACTACAATAAAACATTTTTCTCATCAGGCTAAAAACTAGAGATGTATTGCTTTCTATCACTTAAAAGATGAAGAGGGAAATGTGGAAGTATTTGGCAAAGTGAGATTTACCATACAGTAAAGTAAAACACTACCTAACTACAGAGGGCCACAACAGGATAAATGAGCCATTTAGTATAGTGCCTACAGAATACATGTATAAAAGGCCAGCTTGACAGTAAAAGGGAAGAACTACACATGAGCAGCTCAAGGCATCTACAGTTCAAGCCAATACATATACAATATGAAGGACATGTCAAGTTTGTCTTCTTCAGATTTGGGCTGAAGCTGAATCTCCCAAACATGGAGCCCTTCCAACAAGGTGCAAAATCTCTCCCTAGCAATATATCAAGGTCACATCTCTACTGCAGATTAGCAAACCTTCACAATTAGACATCAACAACGAATACATATCCAATCCTAAACAGTCCTTCAGATGATAAAAGGATCCCATGCAAGAATCTTGAAACAAAATTGTGATTATGTACTATGGATGTCTCTAATAAAACACCTACATTACCTCTTGAGTATAAAGTAATGTAAGCATTATCATAACATTTCATGGATAAAATCACAAATATGAAACCTGCATCAGATTCAATTTTATCTGAGCCCTAACACTTTCATGAATTGAGGGAATATCATGCAATATGAAGCAAGCTCTACACCTGGCCCAAAAATGACTGACTCTAAACACAGCAAGGAGGGGCACCAACATTGAGAGTTGCAGCATCCTCTCACATGAAAGAAAACTTTGCAGGTATACTGAATTGCTTTTGTCCCTCACATGAAAGACATGTAATGTTTGTGTTAAAATTAAATATATATACTGTACTATATTAATTCATGGTTGGCAAATATCTCTCACTGACCTGCAGTTATATCACACTGTACATTCGATGCTTCAAAATTAACAGATTTCTATCCCCTTAAACTTGCCAAAGCAAACCAAGTCATTCTTTCCTAATAATAGCACATGATGGTACAAGCACCATTCAGATTCGAACATGTGAGAGATGCTGCTAGTTACACTAAATAATGAGGCACATGGTTGTACAAAACACACTGAGTGAACCTACACATATGCTGGAGACGGCTCTCCCACCATGACACTTATCCTTCACCTTGGGGAAAATAATCAAGCTATTATTAAAAGAAGCACTTTACATATTAATAAACTGAGTAGCCTAAGAATTATTGGAAATACCAACTCTGGTGGCATCAGTACATCAAGAACTGTTTGGCTTGTCTCCTCAAACACTGTTAAGCAATAATACCTGAATTATACATCAACTGCACGACAGCATAAAATTGCCCAAAAACAGTGAGACATGAGCAGCCCTCCATGTACTCTGCCCGAGAGCCGTCTGGCCAGCATAGTTCACTGTGTGAGGTGGAAGCATTTGTGGTGAATACGAGGAAGGCAGTGGAACGTGGAAACGGAGTGTGGAATCGTGATAGAAAATGGATGCTTAAACATGGATTATCACAAATATGACTGCCTTAATACAGTATCTCATCTCTTCATATACAAAACATGGATTTTTTCAGATGTGAAACACCTTGGATATGTAACTACATAACCTCCCCAAACTAGAGAAAGTCAACAAAAGTTAAGCAATAGTCTGTATTTCAAGTACTGAGGCTGTGAGATGGGCATTTGTTTTTTCTGCTAATGTGAGGGGACAAACACCAAAAATGATGAGAGAATACTTCATATAACTGATGAAAGATCAGGCTAATTATACACAAAAGTGGTTTCAAATATAGAGGTTAATAAGAATGATAAAGATCAGAAGAATATTGTACACCTTTTCTAATTGCCTAAGAAGCAAGTGGAAAATATTAAGAATTAAAGAAATTTCAGAAACTAATTAAGCACAGAAACCCCCATTAGCATAAAAATATTAACCCTTTGTATAATCCTTGAAAATATTTGCCCAGAGTCCTAAGCTCTAAATGAAAATAAGTCTTGCAATGTTAGTACATAAAAATTTAATTTTGTCATTATATTCTAGTTGAGAGTAATAGAACGTAAGAACTACAATGTCTTGTTAGTTATGGTAAAACATTCCCTCAAAGCTTCCTGTAGTACAGTCTGTCTGTCTTGTCTGATTAATAATGGTCCACCACACGAAGAACTATTGCAAATAATTGGTGTGTTTCAAGGATATCCTTCTTAAACTACAAGCACAATCTGAGTATTCCTCTCATTTATATTTTCCTCAATTTAAAACAAGTATAGCATGCTTAGGGAGGTACTAAATAGCACTGGACACCTTCTGGGACACTCCAGCCATACTCAAGAGCTGTAAACACTCTAGCTGATATACTACCATGTAATGCTATCATTAACTGCACGCTTTACATACACACACACACGGAATTAATGCTGCTGTATATATGTAAGCGAATAATTATATGTAAATAAAAATATATGGCCAGGCTGCTTGGTCATGCTCCTAGGCTTAAAAATACAAAATGAGCTCGTCTCCAAAAAATGCTACTCTCAGTGCATGCCTTGACAGGTAGTGTTGACCAGACCACACACTAGAAGTTGAAGGGATGACAACGTTTAGGTCTGTCCTGGACCATTCTCAAGTCGACCATTCTGTTAATCAACTTGAAAATGGTCCAGGACGGACCGAAACGTCGTCATCCCTTCAACTTCTAGTGTGTGGTCTGGTCAACATACTTCAGCCATGTTATTGTGACTCATCGCCTGCTTGACAGGTAGTTTTACAGGTACTGTATATTGCTAGATCATGAACATCTCTTGAGTACAAGTCAAATTCCTAGAGATTGGTACTATGCTTACTATGCTACTGGACGTACTGGTGATAACATTTTATAATCAATGTACCATCACTAATATATTCAGCAAAGTACTACAGTATTAAGATGATTCAAGAAACCATTTAGGTTGACAACACAGATCAATAACAAAGTTTTGAGTCAAAATTTTGAATTTCAAGCACTTAACATCAATACTGAAGGTCTAAAGCTGAATAAACATGCAGCCAAGTTACAGTGGTGTTCCACATATGTCAAAACTGGATAACACTGGAGTTGCTTGCTTTTTTATTTGCTTTTTTTGTTTTTCTTGGAATTGGTTAAGCTTTTGACCACAATATCACACATGATCCTACTTTCTTTGCCAGTAAGAATAAGCCTCAAAATGAGGAATTATTATATACTGCATAGCACAACAATATGGGTCTTTTTTAAGTAAACATTATCCATTATATCTTCATGCACAACACAAATGAGAAAAACTCCCTGGCAAATTCTAAGACACCATGGGTCAAAGGACTAATGTTGCAGACACAGCCTCATCACATGAAGGCAAACACAGAAAATGGACAGCTAACAACATAAACTCCTGTGGAGCCCTAGACAAACAAAGCCTTGGACAGAACAACAAGGGAAGGTTAACCATCGTCCTGTGAACAATCAGATATGCACACTGCACATACGCGGTCAGCTTTGGGAAGTTAACTCATTAAGACTGGTATAAAAGTGAATGTTGGGATCCTATTCTTGTTACTGAAAGCAATACTTAGCTTCCTCACACACTTGCAGTTAGCTCAAATCCTCCACCTCAAGCTCCAAGTGCAACACATAAAAGACCATACAGAGAAAGAACCTTCTTTTGATGCCATTTGGTGGGCAACAAATCCTCCAACACCTCTCTCACTTCTGGTGGACACATGGCCGGTTCCACTCACACCTCTATAGGACAAGCACAGATTTGACTTGTTACTGAAAAACCTGTCATCAGGTTCCAACTAAAGAGAGAGAAAAGCTCATCTTCCTTGAGACAAAGATTACTCAAGAGACTCCATGTGACAGTAATACCATTGGCTTGAGTTTTACTAGCCCTTCATCATCTTTCCAGTAATCTTCTCTGGCTCTCTGCTTTCCTCATGCTTCAACCTTCTTCACTCACAACTGGTCGCTTCTTTAAGATACTCGCTGGCATCCCCACGGCAAATTGGGCAAGTCCGGTTTGACTGAAAGACACAAGTAAGGTTTAAAGTTGGCAGGATTAGAGCCTAATGGTGAGGCTATTTTGCAATTGATTGTGTCTAATATCAAACTAAAGGTTAAGATAATGAAAACTAAACTTTCTCTACTCAATGTAAATAATTGTATTTCATGAGATTTAATTCTGGATTAAAGTATAACATTTACCGAGTCATTCTATCTATATCTACACATAAAAGTGATGATATCTATAATGATTTCAATTATTATATGTACACGTAACTCTATCTTCATTCATAGCCTGGAACTATTGACAGATGAATTTACTAGACAATAAAATTAAAATTCTCAAAAGTGTCTAATGCAAAATAGTATCTGTCAAACACAAACAAGACCTACTATTAAACTTTGTCTAAATTGAAACTTTAAAAGGCCTCAAAGGAGCAGACATTTTTAAGTACTGTCAAAAACTGGCTGTAACTTTGAGTTTAAACTTTGCATAAAAATTATCCAATAAAAAAAAAAGTTTCTTGTGTATCTGTATTTATTTTTTAATAAGAAAAAGAGAAACACACATGTAGATAGCTAGGTAGCAGCAGTTGCTTCACTAAGACAGGCAACCACATCAGTCAACAAACTCTAGATACCAGGCCTTAGATTCATAAGTTAAATTACTCAGTTATTGGCGAGTTGCTGCTCAAGTTGTGCTCAAGGATAGGAATCACATCAACTTCAACAGCAAATACCGAGCAATTGCCGAGTACAAGAATTTCGGAATTTAGGCCTGATGGCTGGATGATGACATCTGTGGATGACTGTATTTTAGAAACTGATGGATTTGAATTAAAAATTCTACAGTTTCAGGTAAATAGCAATCATATTTGCGCATCACAAGCAGTTTGGGCCGAGACGACGGGGATGCTGCGGTAAAATGCCGTCAGCACAGCAAGAACAGCACTTTCTCCTCATTCTTAATTACATTACATGCAACAGATTAATAAAATTAGTAGAACAAATCATTGCAAGCTGACCAGGCTGCCACAAACTTGAATTACAGAGAAAAGAGGTCACAAGCACAAGGTTTAAGGATGAGTCCTTCTAATAGTGTTTGTGCACGATCCCTGTTCCACACACCTGCCTGCAGTAACTGCTTTTGATTAGCTATTATTCAAAATTGGCACACTTAACTGGATCATATGGGCATCCTGATCCTACAAAAGGAGCAAATGTCAAACATACTTTAACCAAAAGCAGTGCCCATAGGTATTAGTGAAAACAAACTATTGCACCTTATGTTAAAGGAAACGTTTAAAACTAAACTGAGCATTCCTCTACAATCCCGTGTGTAAACTGTACAGCAATTACCAAACAGGAACTGTTTGCAATAGAATTAATTTAATTAGCACTAATCCATGTTTAATTTACATAGTGTTGTTTAATGAGTGTTGTTTTACTTTAAGCAAATACCGATATTTAAACAAAAAAAACAAAATTCTATAAAGGTCCTAGAAAAATAGCAAACAAAAAAACATAAACAAATTAGGAGAAAATGCTCCTCCTGGGAACCCTGCGTGCTGCTGTGGTGGCTAGGCCTATGTTTTATGCTTGAGGAGTATTTTACAGCCAGTTGGTGACAGTCTTGCCTGATGTTGGCCGGAAGTCAAGCATTTCCAGAGCTTTGCAAACATTTGGCAACACTAGGTACAACACTGAGAAATCCCCATACTAAAATTAAAAACTTTACATTGCACAGCACAGTGGAAGCAATAAACTGAAGATGGTGCTATCATATCTGGATAAAATATATAAACTTGCTGCTAAAGACTGAATTGCACAGCAGAAGTGATAATCAGCTGACTAAAGGCTGCATAGTGACCCACACGGTGATCAACACTGAAATAACCCAAAACGCAAAGCCTGGAAACACCTGACGACCGAACCAGTGTGCAGTGTGACCAAGAGGGACATACCTGCAGGCACCAAAAAGGCCATCATCATGATACTGCAAGCATGCAAGCAGCCAGCAGTGGTATACGGCACAAGGCACGCCACCCTCCTGCTCATGCAAGACACACGCACTGGTTAGCTCGGGGCACAGTCAAGGGTACCAACCGCTCGGCACCGAACACAGTCACGGGTACCAACTGCGCGGCACCAACCACAGTGAAGGGACTCAACTGCATGGTACTGACCACAGTCTAGGTTACCAACAGCATGGTATCAGCCAGTCAGAAGTCATATCCATGAAATATTATAAAGATTGAGACCAATAGATATAGTGTCATATGCAGAGGTAACTGTTGTTGAGCACAGGATGCTACAGAGATGGCATGGTAATGAAAGATAATTTGCTTGCAAAACAGTGATCAAAAGGTCTCAGCCTCCAAATAAAATAATAAGCACTGTTTTGAAGCAAGACATCTATGCTGCCTCATCATATCTACCCTGTGTCCACAATAATTACTCAACCTCCAAATGAACACAAAACCCAGGTCTTCAACTTCACAGTATTTCCACACATGTACTAACTGTGCAATACCAACAAGCTGCAAACCCAGTGCAGAAGCCAGGTATTACAAAAAGTTGGGGATAGTAACACTAGAGATGAGTAAAAGGCTCCATACAATGATACACATTATGTGAAGCTATCATTGGCACCTCAGTACAGTATTATTAAATACTGTAAAGCTTGAGCAAGCTGTCCCAAAACTCAAGAATTGAACATGTACTGTCTTCACATTACATTAAAAGTAATAAATTATATAATAGTGAAATACTAATAACATAGTGATTTGTACTTTTTACTTTTCTCCGAGAGCATATCTTTTAGCACGAAGCAATTTAAATGTTAGAATATTACTGACCCTATAGGAACAAAATAATGTTCTAACACAAATTAATTTTTTCTCTGCCTGTATCTTACTCATCTCTTTAAGGGTAATCAGAGCTCTAGAGGCCATACTTTATTGCAATGCTCAGCAAGCATACAGCATTTTTTAACTCGGGAATTTAATGTCGTCTAATTATCAGTGTTATGAAAGCAATTTCACCACATTTAAGGCAGGGTTTGGGAAAGGCTGTGCACTTGTGGACTTGTAATCTAGTACTGTGACTGAGCAGTTGCAAAATATGTTCATCTGAGAAAATAAAACCTCTAAAATACAAGGCTTTTGCACTAGGCTTTGGGGAGAAGCTCAGAGCTCTTTGTGATCTTGATGCTGATTAACCTGTGCTCTAAAGAAGCTCGGTAAAAGGGAGGGAGCTACACATTTTAACATATTAGATGCTCATCACAAAAAGCTCTGGATGTGTTAAAATCCAAAAATACAAACAGGAGGAAAAAGGGGGTGTAAAGGCAAGAAACTGGCTACGGACGACTCTAAAGCCCAACAGTTACTTGAAGGCTTGTTGTTGTTGTTGTTGATGTTGCTGTTGCACTTTGTTAATTACAGACACCTTTCTACAGTTGTTATTCAGTAACTATTTGTTCTGGTCACATGACAAATTCCAAAGTTGCTTACTCAATTAAATATGAAAATGACTTTTAAAGACTCGACAAACAATGACTCTACGGACCAAACATCATATTTACTGTTTTAACAAGTAGATGAGCCCTTCCAAGTTTAAAATATCTACAAAAAATGCAAAAATATGGTCTACAAATATCTAGGATGTACACATAGCATACACAAAAGTGCATAAATATGTACATAAACCCCCCTTCTCCCACTAAGCTTTAGGAACCTCAAAGTGACTGCTGGGTGTGCTGTAGTGATAGTTTTGGTCTATATGATGAAAAAACAAGGGCACCAGATTCATGAATTCCATGAAGAAACTGCCCATAATCAACAAGAATGCCTTAATTTGCAATTTCTAGTTATATAAATTAATCATAGGCAAGACTGAAAATAGCTTTAATGCTTACCAGGCACAAATAATTTATAACAAAAATCAAGAGAAAAAATAATCGTAATAATGTATAGGACACGAGTCTTCAAGGGATTCTTCATTACAAGTGTGATGTGATCAACACGTCTTAGAAACAGAATTTGTTTCCAGAGAATGCATATTACAGGTGTGTTATGAATGTGAATATGAACTTCCCAGAAACATAATCCAACTCTTATGAGGAATTGACCATATCACATATTACTATGAACCTATTAGATGTATATACACTACATAAAGATGATATATATAGCCTAGCCAGTGTTAACTACGCCTCACTCTCGGGAGACGAGACCCAGGCCACAGTCACATATGAGGCAATAAAACACGTAACCTGTTCACAAGTTCCCATTAAATCCCGGCATGAGCTGAAATCTGTGACACCATCGGCCAAGCTCGTCCACAAGAATTAAAGAGATTGGATAAGGAGAATAAAGTTGGCTTTGCTATAGGGCTCGTGCCAGCCGAGGCAAGTTTGAGGCTGATAGCTAATTCTACATCTCTCAGCTAAGTGGAAGCTGCAAATTATGTGCTTGAAGGCAATTGACAATTTGATCATTCTTAAAAACAAAATGACAGATCCTGCTGAGAAACATTGACCTTGATAGCAGATTCAGGCATGCCTCAGCTGAGACGCTACCTAAAATACAGCCTTAGTTATCCGTATTAAAAAACAGGACTCTTTCATATATAGAAAATTGGGACTCATCCACATGATTGATCCATTTGAAGAATATCAGATTTATAAGGAGGATCAGACTATTATGCATATATAGGCTAGTCCATATAAGGGCTTATATAGACTGGTTTAAGATCAAGAGTGACTGGTTTGAGCTGGTTTGAGAGCATTCGGGTGATGGACTTTGATGAAGAGCAGCTGGAGGGAGAGGAGACAAATGTGATATCTGCCACTGAGATGAAGGAGTCCACTCGACTTAGAGGACAAAATGGCAACGGTACTGGTATGTCACAGCAGCCTTCATGCACACTTTCGCCTCTAATAAGAAATAAGAGAAGCAATACTGTTAGTGGGTGAGGGCTAGTATACGATACAACGTGGTCAATACACTGGGAAAATTGCACTGTGAAAAACCCATGCTTGCTACCTGATTGTCCCAGAATCATAAATCTATTATCTGGTGTCTAAGCGAGCACACACAATCATCTTGAGAATAATCACCTTACAGTAATAAAGGAATATGTTAAAATACATGAAAATATTGTACACTGCTCTACACATGATCTATCAAAGCCTGCTGACTGGACATAATATGGTAGTAGGAAAGACATATAGAGTCGTCATAAGGTGAGAGAAAGAAATAAACAGTCAAAAATTAAATATCTACTCTGTAAGACATTAATAGCAAATCCCACTTTCAGTAACTTGTACCCAATGTAAGCTTTAAAAATCATGCAACTGATTTTTGTGGTGCCCATAAAAAATAAAACAGGGATCTTGGTGTTTAGATGACACAAGCGCTACTTGGGAGACAAAGGTTCTGAAACATTGTTACTCTAGTATGTTGATATTTTCACCAACCCAAATCATCTAGCCAAATACAGACCCCGAGACAACCAAGACCCCTAGTGCATGACCGAAACACAGCTGCAGATGAGCAACTTACCTTGAGCCACTTATCAACACACTTGGTATGAAACTCATGCAGACATGGTAATACGCGTAACATCTGCCGCAGTTCGAAATCACACATGCATATTACACATGTTGTCTGTTTAGTGTCGGACTTCTCCCCAGTATACCTGGAAATCATGTCTCAGTATTGTTTGTGCAATATATTCACAAACATTGATATATATTGCATCTTGTTACATTATAAACAACTCCTTATACTTAATATTAAAGACAAAACCTCCTTTTTTATTTGTATGACAAAACTTGTATGACATTTTTCAGTCATACAAGTGGTTCTAAATCCAAAGCAGCATGATCAATAACACAATTCATAAAACTATTTACAATTTTCCAATATCTGTCCTGAAGGTTCTGTCTATTCTGATATATATTTCCCTTACATACCATATTTGCATGAGTATAAGTTACATTACATCACTAAAGGTCACTACTACCAACACAATGATTGCACACTGCAAAATGGAGAGCCTCGATACCTATGTAGCAGCCAAGGGCATCATTGCTGTATTGGGATACTAACCCTGCACACACATTTATTTGTTTTGTTAACTCAGGGCACCTAATTTTCTTCAAGAAGTGGTTTATTGTGCTGTGCACAACAAACTGTGCAGCTTACAATTGGGATCCATGCATTTTTGCATTAAATTTACCTAAAACTAACCTTGTGTCTTATACTCATGTAAATAATGTACAATAATAATGTCTATAATAATTATCTTTCAAAATCATCTCTCTAATAATTGGCATTATTAAGAGTTCTACTTACCTATAGGACGGGAGCTGGTCAATCACGGTCTTCATAAGGCCTCTAGGTTTGGCCTCGCCTAGTCTCTCTGCCAGATGTAGTAGGGCCTCATAATTCTCTGTGTCTGGAGCTTCTGCAGGCACTGGGTCTACCACGCTGTATTGGTGTAGCGATGGATGTGACAACATTGCCCTGGAAATGCATGGTATTTCATAAAGAACAAACATGATCAAATTAGCTACAGTCAACTGGAAGGATCTTTGGGTTTGCCTAAAAACTATATTGGAATCATATTTTTTATAACATATAATGCTGTAATGCATTGTATTCTAAAATTTTAAATACAGTACATCTGTACTCAAAAAATACAAAATAACTCACAAGAAATGTAAGAGAATGCCAGGGTATGTGGCTGCCGCTGCAGCAGCACTAGGAAGAGGTGGGGGTGGAGGAGGTGGAGGGGCAGCTGGTGGCATGGTATTCCCTCGCCAGCTGGAACTACTGCGTCTCGCGCCTCCCAGACTACTACCACTGCTACCTCTTGGTCCTCTCATGCGACCGAGTACGTGACCTTGGCCTGGACCACGATAGAGCCCCCGTCCTAGCATGTCGACACTGGCACCTCGTGCACTACCTGCACTTCCACTGCTTGCCTGTCAATTCAAATTAATTTTTGCTATGGAAGAATGAACCATTTGCACTGTGTAAGGAATAGCATACTGCTCAAAGACAATAATTTGTTTTGCCAATTCTCACTAAAAAAACTTAAAAAACAGATCTTCCAAACTTACATGTAAATGATGAAGTTGATGAAGGTGAGTGTGGGCAGGGAAAGGCGTGACCAATGGAGGCGTGGGTTGTTGGTGGGTGTGGTGATGGTGCTGAGGTGGCAGCTGAGGAGCTACACTCACTCCCAGACTTTGTGGCGGTGCAGACAGTTGTCCGGGGACAGCTGTGAGGTGGGTGGGGACGGCCTGTGGGGGAGCCACTGCCATGGGAGCCTGGCCATACAAGGAAGTGTGGGTGTGTGGAGGCTGAGGAGCAGCAGCCATCAGCTGGGGTGGTCCACCAGGTGCCAGGAGAGGACCAGGGGCATGATGACCCGGTGGCACCATCGGGGCATAATGGTGCTGTGGACCAAGGCAACCCCCATTCATCTGAAAATATCAACAAAATATCAATTAACATATAAGAAACAAACCTTATTAAACACTTACTTATTCTACTCTTTCATGTAGTGTTTTATCTAGTAACTTTTCTTAATGTAATTTTCTCAACCAATGCTTTTGCTTTCACATATTTATATCCCCTACAGGATATAGGTTTTTTCCTGCCTTCAATAAACAGTTGCCTGAGTAAAATATTATAAATGAAAGAAATTAAACAAAATGTTTCAGTCATTCCAGAAAACTTTTGAACTATCACCACTAATTTCAAATACTGAAATCCCCACCATAATCAATCTCAAACAAATTTAAATACAGTATTGTATATATTTTTTGTCCTGAATCAAGTATGTTATTCAGTGCATTATTTTCCTTAGAACACAATCACCAGTTATTTTATACTGTAATTCCCAATTACTGTACTGTTGGGTGTACAAAGACAAAAGTACCCAATAAATTCACCCTGCCGGGGAGCCTGATAAGCCACGTGGACAGCGTTTAGGATTCGTAGTCCTGAGGGTCTGGGTTCGATCCCCAATGGAGGCAGAAACAAATGGGCAGTTTCTTTCACCCCCTGATGCCCCTGTTACCTAGCAGGTAACAGGTACCCCGGGAGTTAGACAGCTGCTATGGGTTGCTTCCTGGGGGGTATGTAACAAAAATGAGGCCTGGTCGAAGACCGGGCTGAGGGGACGCTAAGCCCTGAAATTATCTGAAGATAACCTCAGACAAAATAAGATGCACAGGGATTGAACAAAAGTCATTCTCACATGTGAGATGAATGGGTAAAAGCCTTAACTGCTACACTACAAATTAAATACCAAGATGTACAATGGCTGCTATTTATTAATTATGAAAATAACATATCCATTTTCCTTCATTTAGAGGTAAGATATTGAATGAAAACGTGTAAATAAAACTCCAGGCTATGAAGAGTAATATGCAAAACATCCAGAGTTCATAAAATGTAAAATTGGGCACTGCACTTTATGAATTTATTTATTTATTTAGCAAAATTGAAGCTTCCTTTGAGGACTGGCCTATGGCAGACTTCATGAGCTTCCCAAGCTAAGTGCTGGGCGAGCCAAGCCTTAGTGAGATGCACCCCTTACCTACCAGGAGCCATGACCAGAATCTGCCTCTCTCCCTGGGACTCCTTCCCCCCCTCCCCGGGTGGGGGGAAGCCCCAGGCCCCAAATATCCTATTGTGAGATAAGCGCCAGACAGCTGGGTGGACAGCGCTTCGGATTCGTAGTCCTGAGGTTCCGGGTTCGATCCCTGGTGAAGGTGGAGACAAATGGGCAAAATGTTTCTTTCACCTGATGCCCCTGTTACCTAGCAGTAAATAAGTACCTGGGAGTTAGACAGCTGCTATGGGCTGCTTCCTGGGGGTGTGTAACAAAAAAGGAGGCCTGGTTGAGGACCGGGCTACAGAGACGCCCGAAATCATCTCAAGATAACCTCAAGAATCTTGGCAAATATACCATAATGCTAACAATTTAAATTCCATAATTACATATCCAACATCAATGATAATATAACAAAAATTAACACACGAGAAACTAACTTACCTGGTACTGATGATGGAGAGGCGGGTTAGAACAAAGAAAGGAGTGAACGTTGCAATGATGGAGGCGGGGAATGTTGCTGTAACTACCACCACTGGCACCACCCATCTGCAAAAGCCATTCACAATTAAAACATATTATTACATTACATTTGCATACTGAACTTAGAAGAGAGAAAAGAGAGATTAAAGAGATAAAGAGAGAGAGTCAAGAGAGACTAAAGAGAGAGAAAAGAGAGACTAAAGAGAGAGAAAAGAGAGACTAAAGAGAGAGAGAAGACAGAAAACTACTGTTCGGCCTTGGTTTGAGTATCGCTTCCAGATGGCAGACGAGGCCAAAAACAAGGCCTGGAGATTTAAAAGGTATCCCTCAGCTCATAACAGAAACATTTACAGGCAACCTTGTCATATAATGAAAGAGGTTCAAAAGTGGGCTATATCAAGATGGGAATCAGTAACACTAAGAATAAGAAAACTTGCATCTGGAAGAGTTGGATCCAAGGTCTGGTGGTCTCTGGTTAAACATCGGCAGGTATATTCATCTTATCATCTGGGGACACAATCCCACCTCTAAACTGGGAGTATGGAACTGTTGCAACCAGCAATCGGGAGAAGGCTGATCTACTGCAAACCATTTTGCTGCCAAAATGCAAGTCAAGTGGAGGGCCAAGTACCAAATCTACACAGTAAAATAACAACATACTGGAGTGAACGACATGGAAGAAAATGTAGAATAGAACCAGTGAAGAGCAGAGGTGCCATAGGCACAATCAGAGAACACTGTATAAACATCAGAGGTCCGCGGTTGTTCAACGTCCTCCCAGCAAGCATAAGAAATATTGCCGGAACAACCGTGGACATTTTCAAGAGGAAACTAGATTTATTCCTCCAAGGAGTGCCGGACCAACCGGGCTGTGGTGGGTATGTGGGCCTGCGGGCCGCTCCAAGCAACAGCCTGGTGGACCAAACTCTCAAAAGTCGAGCCTGGCCTCGGGCCGGGCTTGGGGAGTAGAAGAACTCCCAGAACCCCATCAACCAGGTATCAACCAGGTAAGTCCCTGATCCTAATCGTCAGCCTTTACATCTTTCTCCAAGCACTAAGCCTAGGATGACTGATATAGTTATACAGCAGTCTGAAGTACCCAACCACCTGGGCTGGACGGTAGAGTGACGGTCTCACTTCATGCAGGACGGCATTCAATCCCTGACCATCCAAGTGGTTGGGCACCATTCCTTTCCCAGTCCTATCCCAAATCCTTATCCTAACCCCTTCCCAGAAATATATAGTCAAAATGACTTGGCACTTTTCCCTGATAATTCCCTTCCTCTCTATCTCTTTAAAACACTTGACACAAGTAAAGCTGTAGGGCCAGATAATATCAGTCCAAGACTACTAAGCCGCTGTGCTGACCTGTTGGCTCCACCTCTCACATGCCTCTACCAACTCTGCCTAGCTCAAGAAATTTCGCCCTCCTTATGGAAGAAGGCAGACGTTGTTCCAGTACACAAAAAGAAGAGCCACTCAGTGGTTGGTAACTACAGATCAGTGTCACTGCTCTCCATTACTGGTAAAATCCTAGAATCATTTATCTCTCAGCAAATTATATATATGAGGGGTGGCAGGGAGCAATAGAAGTGGGATGGAACACCGATCACCCATTTTACAATTTAAATGCATCAGTTCACATTTAAAGTGTTTGTGTTTTTATTGCTTTCAATGCTCATTAAATGACAAGTACAGGGAAGTTATTTAAAAATATTAAATAATATTAACAATTCTGCTAACATTACAAATATTTCTTATTAAAATATAACGTAAAGTCATAACTTGTGTAAGAAACAATAACATGCTGTGCAAGAAAGTTAGTAATACATGTATGTCTCTACAACTGAAGTAGATGTGAGTGCATGCATGTATGTAAATGTTATACATTACAGTAGGTGTAGTGCTTGGATTTTACATAAATGCACATCTGCATATGCAAATGCATATTTTAAGCATTTTTTCTGGTTAGCGAATATTAATGCATTTCAAATAATATTTTGATTTTGTGTTAATGTCTGCCTGTTAGATCTGTACTTATTTTTTATTTTTGTTTACTTCCAACGAATAACTTTTTTGTCTATTAATTAAATTTAAATTCAAAATTTCAGAGAAAAAATTGCAGAGGTAGACAAATCAAGAATAAATGTTGACAATATAATATAGAATATCTGAAATATGGATTTATTCATGCACCAAAGCAACCTATTTCTGCCAATCTGCCTAAAATGAAAAGAAAAATATCTAATGAGGCACTGAAGTTTTCCAGATTGATAGATCATTTGGAAACAGCACCCTTTAAATTTCATGTTGTTTGTTGGCGTGCTAAATATAGCCTCACACTGTTTTTCTAAGATTTCACTAGATTCTTTGTAGTCTTCTGTGTATGAACCTTCATTTGTAAGGATAGATCCAATACTGGTTAAAAATAGATCATAATAATACCACTGGAGGTGCAAAATTTAATAGTGTGCATTGGAGATGAATTTCTTAAAAATTTCTTACAGGTGGAAGTGTAAAAATGTTTGGGAATCATTGCCCTATGCCAACAACTGACCTTTCCCAAGATGCAACTCACAATAATTGCTTACTGCCCAGGTAAAGTACCTATTTAATGCTAAATGAAAAAGAGGCATTGGGTGTAAGGAAATAAAGCCAAATGTCTCATCCAGCCTGGTAATTAAACTAGAATCTAATTGGTTGTGAGCTGACTGTGCTGTGATGGACTGGCTGAGTGAGCTGGGTTCTGTTAATGATACTTAAGAAGTTGGAATGTTTTGAAGGCAGCATGATATTACTTGCCTCCTTGTGGCCAAATCAGCCTTGGTTCCTGGCTCCTATGGCTAGCTCTTCCAATCTAGTATATCTTGATGCAAGTCAGTGAGGGATCCTCTGAACAAGACATGGTGGATGCTGCAGCATTTTCTCTCCCATTATAAGTTGTCCTATCTCTGTGGTAACTGTCATGTCTTTCCTTATTGGCTGTCTCAAGGTAAGGTAGAGGGCTTATGCCAAATTCAATTATATCATGCAGCTTATCAGAGCTCCCAAAGTTAGGGTGTGGTTCAGACCTTCCTTACACTTTGTTTATTTAGCTGAATAAGATTTTTTTTTAATACAACCTCTTATTCTGTTAGGTCTCGAATAGAGTCTGTTAGGTCTCTAGATGCCATTAGATTTCTTGTTGTCACAGCAATTTTGAATCTAGCCCTCTTTCTATCACCTCACCCTTAAAACTAGTTTCCTTTTCACACTCGCTACCAGAAATAAGGTTAACATGTACGGTATAATTTCTTGCTTGGGAATAGAAGCTCATTGTTTTTGAGAGAGAGAGGGTGATTAGGTGCACCTACATCCCATTCCAGGCTTCCTTGCAAAAATTACTTGCTTTTTGCAAGACTCCTTATTCGGATATCATTTGTTTTCAATTGGGGTTCATCACACACTTTTTCAGGCTGCTGCACTTCAGCACTATTTGTTTACCTTCCATCAAGTCACCATACCTTGTGGTTACCTTGAAGTGTTTCCAGGGCTTAGTGTCCTCGTGGCCTGGGTCACCAACCAGGCTTCCTCATTGCTGGACTGGTTAATCAGGCTGTTTGCAGCCTGATGTATGAATCACAGCCTGGTTGATCAGGTATCTTTTGGAGGTGCTTATCCAGTTCTCTCTTGAACACTGTGAGGGGTCGGCCAGTTATGCCCCTTATGTGTAGTGGAAGCGTGTTGAACAGTCTCGGGCCTCTGATGTTGACGTGACCTCTGAGAGTTCTCTCTCAAGAGAACCTACTGCACCTCTGCTTTTCAATGGAGGTATTCTGCACATCCTGCCATGCCTTCTGGTCTCATGTGGTGTTATTTCTGTGTGCAGGTTTGGGACCAGCCCCTCGGCTAATATTTTCCACACGTAAATTATTATGTATCTCCCACCTGCGCTCAAGAGAATACAGATTTAGGCTCTTTAGTCGGTCCCAATAGTGTAGGTATTTTACTGAGTGGATTCTAGCAGTAAAGGTTCTCTGCACGCTCCCCAGGTCAGTAATTTCTCCAGCTTTGAAAGAGGCTGTCATTGTTCAACAGTATTCCACTCTAGAGAGCACTAGCGGCTTGAAAAGTATCATCATTGGTAAGGTATAATAGCTGTGCGAATTCAATTCCATTTCTCCAACTGCCTCTAAAAGTTCAGTTGTAACTTTTATTCTACAGCTTTTCTGGTTTTTCTTGCCGACTCATGATCCTTGGATATCTTGAGCAGAATACTTTCCTATATACTAGCATGCAACCATATACAGCCTGCCCTCAGCCAGGCCTGACGGTAGGGTGACTTCAATATATATTATACTGTACTTTATTCCCTCCTTCATTTGTCTTAAAAATATCATTCTTGTAAAATCATTTACATTACATATTTACAATGAGTTTCTTAATATTTATGCATCATTTTCATATATTTCTTTTAACAGAATCATTCTCAAGAGAAATTAAGAAATAAAGACACAAAGTAACTACCTGTACAATGACAATGTATACCAGCATCACTTAATACTACATAACACTATTATTTATATTTCAACTAACATTATCTTGCATTATTCAGAACGGTTGCAGTACCGAACTACCGTTCACGAAGTGTAGTTCCTATACTCACCCTGGTCCTTTTTTTGGGTCATAGTCTATTACTGTAGTAAGTTCAGCTGAGGAGTGAGTTCATTTATAACCTTTCCCCCCCCCCCCCCAGGTCCTGTAGGAACTGAGCTATGTATTTAACATGCACTCCACTGTTAAGTCGACTACATGTTAAGTCATACCTGGTGAGGTGGGGACTGCACATGGCTACCAGTGAGATGGTGTGTGTGATGGGGTTGTGTTGGTGCGGCACACATCATGGAAGAGGGGCCACGAGCATGGGTATGGATATGGACGGCCTGTTGCTGCTGCTGGTGTTGTGGTTGGTGCTGCTGGTGCTGCTGCTGTTGTTGCTGCTGCTGTTGGTGTTGATGTTGATGTTGATGTTGATGTTGATGCTGCTGCTGCTGTTGCTGCTGCTGAAACTGATGGTGACCTCCTCCACTGTTCATACTCGACATGGCCAGAGACACGGGCACCTAGAATATTAAAATTGCGTTAAAATAATTTTCCTTGTCAATAAATGAGAAACAAAAAAATTAACCTCATCAAAAAATGAAATCAGGAATAATCATTGAAAATCTTCTATGACAAAATGGCTAAAGGAGTAAAAAAAAAAGAGCACCTATGATTAAATAAATAAAATCATTTTCTTATGTAAACCTCCCATCACAATTTGAGTATGTAAACCTTGGTATGTTCCTTCACAATCTACATCACATCACTACTGAATTAGTTAAAATTATATCCACAAATCTTAAAAACAGTAAATTGGTCCAAAATTGATGAAACCACTTAATTAATCCAGTAGTTAATATTATAGGTCTAACTGAACCCGTTAACGGTCAAGGTCTTATATCTACTAAACGAAGAGAATGACATCTATGTGATGACATTAATTTACTTCTCTAGCAAATTAATGAGCACCTGTACTGCTCAAGTTCCTGGACAAATAATATTTCTAATTCTTTCAATTAAAACTATAAAAGGCATAAGAACCCCTGGATCTCCTTGGGAAAGTAGTATGCAAATATATTTTTGAATATGATTAATTCAACCAAACATTATAAAAGATAACCATAAAGGGAAAGCTGGCAATAACACTATTGCTTAATGTCTTGTACTTGTAAACACATAAGGCAAAAAGCCTAAAGAATTATTAAATACAATTAACGTAAATAAAGAAATAATTAATATAGTTAAACCTAAATTTTGAGTTCCTAAAATTACCTTAAAACTTGGCATATTACATCTTTGTAAGTTTTGAGCATATTAAAACCCAACATGAAGATCCTCAATATATAAAAGATAAAAAAAATACAGTAATCCTAGAAAAGGATTAATCCAATAAACAAAATTCTTGATGGAGGATAAAAAAAATCCTAAATAATCTAGCTATCATTTTCAAAATTGTTCTTCTTTTTTATGTCTTTCCTCTGTTGAGCTTAACCCAAAAGAAAATGCTAAAAAAATACTGAACTACTAAAATTAAAATTAATCTTAATAAAAAATCATATACAAATTTACTCAAAGAAGAGGAGATATCCGAGGCATATACAAATATTGCTTTAAATTATAGTACTTAATCTTAACAAACTTTTATTACTGTACACTATAAACTAATTTGTATAAACATTTGAAGTAAAATAGTATTTTAAGCCTAGAAAGGTTTACACGTATTTTTAAGTTATGAAGATTTTAAATAAAAAGAAACTAATGAAAGTACCCACAGTAACTAATATATATAAACCACTCTAAAATGAGACAAAAAGCCTCTCCACCCGACCCAAGAAACTCCTACTAAAAAATTCCTTAGTAGTGTAGAAATTGACAGTTAAATGCATTCTTTCTTATCGTGCATTTGACTGAATAAATCGTGATGTAAACCGTAATTTACCGTAAATCGTAAAGTTATATCGGAACTTTAGCTTCTAGGCAACGTCTATATCAAACTAATATGGCTACGCATCATACAATCTAAACCCACCTGGCTATAGAACACAAGACATACATGTGGAGAGGCGACTGGCTGCGTGACTAAACAGACGCAACAGATGAAAAAATTACAGAGGTCACGGGCTGCTTCCCCGACAGTTACTCAGCTGGGGAGAAAATTGACGGGCTAGGTCAATGCTGCTCCGCCTCTTACTTTCTCCACTACAATATCTGAATTTAAGGACAGCAAATCATGCCGACAATTGGAATTAAGACAAATATTAGTCACTTGACCTCACAACAGCCCACCACTCCCAAAACCATGTCCATATGCATTAAGTTGATTAAGAAACGAAGGTTTACCAACAACTAAGAAACGCATTTTTGCTCTTTCGTAAAGTTGACATATGGTGTGTTTGACAGAGTTGACTTCAGCAATTTGTTCGCATTCAATTATATGGTGTGGCAAAGTATATGAATAGTTCTGCTGACGGAGTATCTACTGACTATCATGTCTTTCTTGCCATGATTGCTTAGCATGGTATGTGTGTGTGCAGGTGGCGGGAACCTGGACGCTGAGAAAGAGCGTAGAGTGGTATAGTGTCAGGGACGCCAGCCACCCTGCGCCCTCACATGCGGCATACTAATCAACGTGAGCAACTTGCCTGCTGACCAGCATTCATTAACATTACCCACATGCATTTATTTTGTTTAGTCTTGTGTTTTTTGTGGACGGCTCTTGCAGCATGCTTGGTGCTGCATAGCCTTCCCGGTTTGGTGCATTCTTTTGATAATTACTTGCAGCATGCTGCGTCTATACTGCACGCAGCTAGACTTAATGTGAAATTGGAAGTGAATCATACCCCCGCCTCACAACCACCTAAATGCATTATGATTGTGCGTTTAGGTTGTATATTGTGGGCAACATGTGGGTGGTGGTGGACGATGACTGTGGCAATCATCGTTATCATCACATCCGCAACAATTCAACTTTTGCAACCCTTGCCGCGGGTTGACGCACCTGCGAAGTCTTCATTCCACCAAGGGGCCAGCAGGACATGTCAATCCCAATGACTTGTAGCAGTAATCACTGCTCACTCCTACGGCAATATTCTGAAAACCATTCGTCAGTGATGTTAACTAGCAATGAGTTCCCACTGAATTCTAAAAAATGCAATAAACTACAATTGAGCACTGAGCCCTTCACCAATAACCCTCACTGGTATTGAGCACTGAGCCCTTCACCAATAACCCTCACTGGTATTGAGCACTGAGCCCTTCACCAATAACCCTCACTGGTATTGAGCACTGAGCCCTTCACCAACACTTGACAACAAACTCACTATAATAGACACGGGTACTGAAGTGATCTTTATGCCACTGAATGAAACAATTATATCCATGTTACGTTTATATAATAATATTAAGAAGGGTCTTCTTAATATATATTTTTTACAAACGCCCTTCCCCACCTTTCCGTCACACACCCTGGCCCTCTCTTCCACCTTTGGTCTTGCCTGACCTTATACTTACACGAGACGCAGGGGAGAGGAAGAGAAGGAGAGGGAGAGAGGGAGAGAGGGAGGGAGGGGAGGGAGAGAGGGGGAGAGAGGGAGAGAGGGAGAGAGAGGGAGAGGGAGAGGGAAGGAGAAAGAGAGAGAGAACAAATACGGCCTCTTTATATTGAGGGATATAGGTGGAAGTTGGACACGCCAAGGTATCAAAAGAAATATTAAGCAACACCCATACCCTGTACTGGAGGTCAACAAGAGGAATGCACTAAAAGAATTGTATTAATTACATTACTGTGCGATTTTTTTTATATATTACCAACATATATTTCTAGCATTGGGATGTGAGACATATATATATGGGAGAAATGATATAAAAATAGGTTGGTAGTCAGTACATTACACAACTGACGTAGGAAAGGCGGGGTCCAAGACCTATCTTGCAGACACAAACTGTAAATGTACAGTGACCGCGGGTTGAGACACAGTGACCACGGGTTGAGACACGGGTTGAGACACAGTGACCACGGGTTGAGACACGGGTTGAGACACAGTGACCGCGGGTTGAGACATAGTGACCGCGGGTTGAGACACAGTGACCACGGGTTGAGACACAGTGACCGCGGGTTGAGACATAGTGACCACGGGTTGAGACACAGTGACCACGGGTTGAGACACAGTGACCGCGGGTTGAGACATAGTGACCACGGGTTGAGACACAGTGACCGCGGGTTGAGACACAGTGACCACGGGTTGAGACACAGTGACCACGGGTTGAGACACAGTGACCACGGGTTGAGACACAGTGACCACGGGTTGAGACACAGTGACCGCGGGTTGAGACACAGTGACCGCGGGTTGAGACACAGTGACCACGGGTTGAGACATAGTGACCGCGGGTTGAGACACAGTGACCGCGGGTTGAGACACAGTGACCGCGGGTTGAGACACAGTGACCACGGGTTGAGACATAGTGACCGCGGGTTGAGACACAGTGACCGCGGGTTGAGACACAGTGACCGCGGGTTGAGACACAGTGACCGCGGGTTGAGACACAGTGACCACGGGTTGAGACATAGTGACCGCGGGTTGAGACACAGTGACCGCGGGTTGAGACACAGTGACCGCGGGTTGAGACACAGTGACCGCGGGTTAAGGCCGCAACACAACACATGCACAAGAGGAACAGCAACAAGAGGCAGCAATGAACAGATCAAGACACAGTCCAGAGGAATGCACCTAACACAACACTTAACACGACGACAAGATAAAATACCGTAGAGATGAGTGAGAATGCTGGCCGCAGACAAGCTTGGTGAGCCAGCCAATCAAAAGCCTCTCAAATCCTGAATGAAACCCACAATTTCAAACACCATCACGACCACCAGCAAACAGCAGCAGGCAGCAGCAGCAGCAGCAGGCAGCAGCAGGCAGCAGGAGGACCACCACCACACCACCGGAAACATATCAAGGTAAAATCACGGTAATGACTCCACAGACGACAAACCTGAGAAGATTGCTGTGAGTGTTAGTGGGAGGAGGGAGGGCGGGGTGAGGGGTGGTGGAGGGGCGAGGAGGGAGAGGGGAAATATTGGGAGGAGATATATGGAAGGTAAAGGGGGGGAAATAGGTAGGGCGGTGAAAGACGGAGGGATAAACAATAGGGAACGGGGAAGTGTGTTAAGAATAAAGGGAAGCTGTTTAGCCGGGTGGGTAATGAGCATGTTAGGTAGAGGAGGGGAAGGGGAGGAAGGAGGGAGAGAGAGATAGGGTGTAGGGGGAAGGACGGAGGAGGAGGGAGAGGAGGGATGGGGGAGGGGGCAGGAACGTGAGGAGGGAGAGGACAAAGTTGCTTCTAGCCAGCAAGACCAAGGCAGCAATTGAAATCATAAACAACATTAAAAACCAATGGAAAATAATCACAAATAAACCAAAATTCCATATAATACACATTGCAAAAAAGAAAGCCAGACCCCATTATCCTTGACAACCGGCCGATCCAATATGCAGATGTTGGCAGAATACTGGGGCTG